GCGGAGGAGCAGGCCAAAGTGGAAGAAGCAATGGATAAACTGCGCGCTAATGTGGAGATTCATGTAAGCACTATTCATTCCAGGGTTACGATTGTCTGCTACTATTCTATTTCTGACTAGGATCGGGAGATTCAAAAGCTACAGAAATCATTGAAAGACGCCGAGCTCATACTCTCTACAGCCATATTTCAGGCACGCCAAAAGCTGGCTAGCATTAATCAGGCCAATAAGCGGCCGGTTTCTTCAGAGGAACTCATCAAATACGCACACCGCATAAGTTCAGCAAATGCAGTCAGCGCTCCGTTGACTTGGTGTATTGGAGATCTTAGACGACCATATCCTACAGACATTGAAATGCGCAATGGTCTATTGGGTAAATCTGAGCAAAACATTAATGGCGGACTTGTCACTCATCAAAACAGCGCCATTCAGTCGGACGCCCAACGAAATTTAAGCGGTACAGGCGGTGGTGGGAGTGGCAGCGGAAGCGAAGTGCCAAATGCATTCCAAAACCAATTCAGCTGGAACCTAGGCGAACTACACATGATGGGTGCTTCTGGCAACTCGGTGGCTTTGGAGACACGTGCTCATAAAGAATCTTCAGCACAGGATGATGTCGAAGTCATGTCCACAGACAGCTCAAGTTCTAGTTCGAGTGATTCACAATAGTTTTTTAGATGCAGAACAAAAATAGAAATAGTAATAGTAGCAAATAAGAGAAAAGTTTATTGTATACACATATATATATTAGATTTCTGGATTTGGCCAACTCTGGATGCTCGATTTTATGTGCTTCAGTTGAAGCGCACAAAAACTCAGACCTAGAGCGGACCAAGCCTAAAAATTTTCTAAAATTAAGAAAGAGGACGCGAACTCCTTAAAACTATATATATATAAGTATTTAAAATGAATGGGTTGAGCATTTATTTAAAAATTATCCTTTTTCGATAACGGTAGTGACTTAGCGATAGATAGTTATCGGCTTTCACACATCGATACCAGAGGGAATGGCAATTACTTTGCTGGCATCGCCAATCACACGGAAATAATTCGACAAATTTTAGTTTTTAATGCAAACGGAAAGGCTATAAATTTCGCCTTTGGATGATATATATAACTCTCTTTAGTGTAAAACAGTCGATTTTGTAATGTTTGAGTGTGCGTGTGTGCGGGAAAGCTAATGCAAAGGCCTTGAAAATTGTTACGAAAATTGACTGACGCACGGAGTGCTGAGGTACGTGCTAAAAGAAGAAGAGAAGCCTCGCCAGCGCAATATCAGAAGTGGTGGTCAGGGAACAGCAGCAGCACACCGCAGCACACCCCGCATTAAAGTTACACACACACGACACTCTTTTTTCATTCGATTGCTGGAAAATTGCACAGCGTGCGGAGTCACTGCAGCATGATCCATTGCATGTATTTAGTTTACGTATGTGAAGCATAAAAAGGCCCCCCAGCAAACTGATACTGAAACCGAAACCGGATTAAAAGTGCAGCTCGAACAGCACCGATTGTAACTAGGGCGCCCCAGCTAAGTGAAAAGCTTGTGGCGTCGTGGCGTCGGAGCGGATACAGAGAGTTTCGAGACAGTTTGACATAAAATTCAAAAATCATGATGATACAAGAGCCCGTGCAGGTAAATCGATAGCAATCGAATAAAAAAAAAAAAACAATTTCTTTTATCAAAATATACATAAATATATTTCAATCTACTGTTCTTATCCGTATAGGCCGCCATATGGCACTGCCTCAACCACTACGATCATAAGGATGCTGTTTTTCTCGCGGAGCGCCTCTGCTCAGAAGGTTAGTAAAACCTTCACTTTATACATACACATAACATATGTACATATACTTAATTCGTCTTGTCCATGCAGTGGAAAGCGACGAGACAATATTTTTGTTGGCCACCAGCTATTATCGTTCAAATCGATTGGATCAGGCCTATTGGCTGCTCCTGGAGAAGTCGCGCCGCTCGCCGCAATGCCGCTACTTGCAGGCGAAATGCGCGTACGAGCTGAAGAAATATGCGGAAGCAGAAAGTGCTCTGATTTCCAGTGGTTTTGTGGACAACAAACATTTTGATGAGGTGCAGCGCGAATTTGGCGAAATCGCCTGCTTTGCCTATCAATTAATGGCGCAGATCTGTATGCGAACGGAGCGCCAGAAGCTAGCGGTGAACGCGCTGCGTCGTGCACTTAAACTGAACCCGTTTATGTGGCATGCGTTTGCCGATCTGTGCCTGCTGGGCCAGGAGACGGATACAGCGGCAATATTCCAAATTCAAAGCACTGATGTGTTCAACACTTGCCAGGGCAGCAGCGCCAATGCCAATTCCATGGTGCTGTTCGGCGGCAGCGCTGTTAACGAGCAGCAACAGCAGCTGGAAAATCTGCTGCTTAACAATGTAAGCAATAACTCCAATTATATACTAAGCACCCCAGTGGAGCAGCAGCAGCAACATCAGCACCAGCTGCAGCAGCAGCAGAATAACAACAGCAGCTTGGCCACTCTACAGAATCTGATGACGCCAAACAACAACATCAACAACAACAACAATAACAATCTCAATAGCTCCATTACCATGCTGCGTGGCGGCGTGCAACAGCAGAACACCAACACCAACTCGAGCATGATGCTACTAGAGGACACACCCATGGGTTATGCAGCGCATGATGCGCCCGCACAGCAGCAGCAGCCGCAGCATCAACATCAATTGTATGATGCCAACAATGGCACACCGTTTCGAAAGCAATTCAAATATCTGTCTGCAATATCGCCGTTAACGCCCAGCTTTGGCATTATGCCGCTGACTAGTCCCTGCGATGGCGGCTCAGCTGTATTGCAGGCAAATTTAAACATGTCCGCATATTCGCCGTTGCCACAAATGCTGGTCGAGGTCAATCAAGAGCCAAAAATCATTGGGAAAAAATTTAAGACGCATGTGGGCGGACTCATCAATCGTCAGGAGAAAAGTAAACCCGCCGTTTTTACGCAGGCTGGCAACATAACTCCCCGCACGCCAAACAACGTTGTTGGCAATGGACCCCCGAATCCCAATGCGGCAGTGCGTCGCAGTTCGCGTCTGTTCAGCAATTCGGCGTACTCTGTCAAGGAGAACAACAAATCGCCGAATATAACGAACAATAACAAATTTGTACAGCCGCGATCGCCACCACGCAAAACCAAATCGTCACGCATGACCAAAATCTGTTTAAACAACGAGCTAATTGAGGAGAAGACGCATCACCATCTCGCCGAGAAGCTGAGCGAAAAGCAGTCGCGCAAGGAAAAGGAAAAAGTGGAAACAATCACATCGGGGGCAACAGCCGGCGGAAACAGTCAATCATCAATCAATAATCGCAGCGCCGAAGAAGCCAAAGTCCTGCTAAACAACAGCCTCAACAATGCCCAGACGCTGGCGCATCAACTGCTGAGCATGAAAAAGCAATCGGCGGACGGACTAATGCTGCTGCTGCGCGACCTCGCCGAGGGCTATAAGCTATTGTCGGCGTTTCAATGCAAAGCGGCCATTATGCATCTGGAGGGGACGATACCAAAGCATCATTTAAGCTCCAGTTGGGTGCAGTCGCTGATTGGCATGTGCCGCTACGAGCTGCGCGACTATGAGGCCGCCGTGCTTATATTTAAGAGGATACACGAAACGGAGCCGTGTCGCCTGGATTACATGGAAATCTATTCCACATCGTTGTGGCACTTGCAAAAGGAGGTCGCGCTCTCGGCGCTCGCCCAGGACCTCATCGCTCAGGATAAGCGCAGTCCGGTGACGTGGTGTGTGGCCGGCAATTGTTTCTCGCTGCACAAGGAGCACGAAACGGCAATTAAGTTCTTTAAGCGTGCCGTTCAAGTAGATCCCGACTTTGTGTACAGTTATACGCTCCTGGGACACGAGCTGGTACTTACCGAGGAGTTCGACAAGGCGATGGACTATTTTCGGGCAGCTGTCGTGCGCGATCCACGGCATTATAATGCCTGGTTCGGCATTGGCACCATTTATTCCAAGCAGGAAAAATACGAGCTGGCCGAGCTGCACTATGTGAAAGCGCTGAAAATCAACACACAGAACTCGGTCATCCTGGTGCACATCGGGGCAATGCAGTTCTTCATGCAGAAAAAGGATCTGGCCCTGCAAACGCTTAATACTGCAGCTACGATAGATCCGAAAAATCCGTTGGCGCGTTTTCATCGAGGCTCCATATATTTCTCGCTGGGCAAATACCAGGAGGCGTTGCGCGAACTGGAGGAGCTCAAGGAGATTGTGCCAAAGGAGTCGGTCGTGTTTTATCTAATTGGTAAAATACACAAGACGCTGGGCAACATGGATCTGGCATTGATGCATTTCAGTTGGGCCACCGATCTGGATCCTAAGGGCGCAAATAATCAAATTAAAGATGCCTTCGATTCAATGGCGCATCCCAATTGCTGTCCACCCAATGACAATGCCCTGGATGTGGACTTTGATCCAACATCGGAGCGTTCCGATGACTCAACGCAGGCGCAGCAGGATGTTAGCTACGACAGCGACTACTAGAAAATGTCTCCAAGTCTGAGTGCTTGTATATATAATTACATAATTAATACACATATTTGAAAGAGAAAACAAAAACCAATTATGAATTATATTGAAGTTTAGATAACGTTTAGCATTAGGTTATTTATAACAAACAAACAAAATAAGATGAAGAAGGTTTAAACAATTCTCTGTCTCTGTGCACTCTGAAACTCTTAGGCAAACAAAAACAAGATTAATATACATTATATACCAATTACCAACTAAATTATACAAAATACAAAATTTAAATGATTGCTTAAGTTTAAAAACAAACTAAAAATTCGAAAAAGGATATGTGAATCTTCGAATGCAGCGCATAGTGGCGCCGCCTAGCGGCGATGCTGTCTTGACGCTGATCAAATGCAAATATCGATATCAGTTAGAGATGTGCAACTCGCTGTAAATCATAATGCAACCGTTTAAACCGCTAGACTGCGCCAAAGCTGTTCCACAAGATAAAAGCAATAGAATAATATACAAATTAACCTTAATTAAGATTTTGTTGTACGTTTATATGAACACGGCTTTTTAGCCAACTCAGTCTCTTCCTCGCTGGATGAATTGACGCTTATCAACTCGAGCGACTCCTGGGCCAATTGCTGCAGTTGCTCCAGGCTAAGGCGCTGCGTTAGCTCCAAGACTGAGCGCAGCCGTCCTACCTCTACGCCCAGCATGAATGCTATAGCGGGCAGATGAGCTTCGTGCAGCCGATATATCCGTGGCGTCGCAATATTTAGTACATCTCGTAGTATCTTGGTGCCAAACACTTCGGCAAGCGATTCACTCAGCGATGGCGTCTTGGAGCCCAAAGATTCTGCATTTGGTGGCGACGGGGAATACATTTCACGGCCCGCAATTGGCGTACGAGACATTTCACCTGATTCGTTGGCAGGTGTTCCACAGCTTACACGTTGCAATTCGTCTGGAATAATGGTTCCGGTAATATATTTCGGCTCCGTTGGCAACTGATGTATAAAATGTGCAGGATAACGTTCCGGCAACAGAGTCTGAGTCAAGTTCATACACTGATAAGATAATGTTTGAGTGCTGCTGCTGATCAATGTGGATGCTCTGTTAGCTGTTGGGATGACAGAGGCTGCCCAATTACTGTTCACCCTTTTCGAATTGGACTCGCCTTTCTCCGGACCGGCATAAGAGGATTCCTGCAGGTAGGAATTGATGTTCTGTGTTTCATAAGGCATATTTAGTTGCATGGGAACAGCTTCAGGCTCTTTTTTAATACGTCTACGCCTATTACCCGACGGAGTAAAGCTTCTGGATTGGCTGCTGGGTGGCAATTCAGCTGGCAATAGCTGCAGCTGGGCACTGTGCTGGGAGTCCAAAGCGAGTTGTGACTGGAGACGCAGTTTACCTGGCAGTGGCTCAGAATGTGTTGTTGTAGCCATTTGAATAGCTTTCGGCTGCTTTTTCGGACGCCCTCGTTTTCTTCTCGTCGGGGTCTGGGAGCGACGCTTCTTCGCCTCGGTATTCTCCGTGTCAGGCGTCGGTGTTTTGCCAGGAGCACGTTTCTTAAAGCTATTTGATGAGATTACACGGTTGGGAGGCAGTTGAGCCAACTGACTGAATTCGTCATCTGTCGCAGTAAACAGTTGAGGTGAGCCGCCGCCAGCTGTAGCATCAGTCAGCAACAGGGAATCTTCCTTGGCAGTTTGCTTCCTTTCACGCAAACGCTGGGAGCGACGCGGCTGCGAGCCAGCCAACTCCTCCGTTTGCAGTGCAATCAAGTATTCCAGCTCCGAGCAATATGTGGGAGCTGGACTTACAATAGGCGTTTCATTTTGCGTAGCCATTGGTTTTTTAATAAAAACCAGTAAAATTTTAAATTAAAAAGACGCTTCAAAAACGCGGCGAAGTTGCCGTTACAGTTAGTTGCCCACACGATGCGTGACATAGCACCCAGCTATTGTGAACGCGCAGCAAGCAGTCTGGCAACGCAGGCAATTTTTGCTTCTTTCTTTCGTTTGTTTTCGCTCTTCATTTGTTGTGCTCACTACCAATATATTTTGGAAGTTTTCCAATTCAATTCTCAAAACAAACTTAAACTGCATAATGCATATCTTAGATCTTCCGGACACTGTGTTAATGGACATATTGGAGCTGCTCACGTACGATGAGGTAGCCAGAAAACGCGAGGTAAAAAATGAAATCGAATGTGTCATCCGGAACCATCTCGAGACGCTTCCATAAACTTTTGTTCGTTTCTAGGTATGCGCTCGCTTCAACTACATCTGCCAACAGGTGCTTAACACGGGCTTCAACAAGGTTGTGCAGGAGCATGCCAAGAACTTCAAACGCATCAAATCCCTGCTGCCACGTCGTGAATCAGAACGGCGGTAACTAAAAATAATCTAAAGAACTGATTGTGGCTGTTGATAACAAGTCTTTATTTCGCAGCAATCACATGCTGGCACGCCACTCGGACATCCTGACGTCCATTGAGACGCGCATTTCAATGCTGACAATGACCTACTCAAAGTTTATACACCTCAACATGTGCTGCTTTATACCCGGTCGCGTACTTGACGAAATCAACAGCATATTAAGGCTGTTGGGCGGCACAACAAAGTCGTTGCGCCCGCACGAAGTGCTGCAGGAACTGCGCGACATCTCCTCCATGGCCATTGAGCACTTCGATGAAAAGATCGCCATCAACTTTAAGACGGCCATCAAGATGAACGAACCCTCCTCCGCGGCCAGCGCTAGGGTCGTTGTCTGTGGCGCCCTTGGCGACATCAGTTTCGATGGCGTGAAGGTCAGCCGATTAAAGAAGGTTCAAGCTCAGCAGCAGCAACAGACGCATTGCCACAATATGCTATGTATGAGCCAAAAGAGCGACACACTGCCGCAGCAGGCACTGCTGCTGGCCAACACACTGCCCGCCAGCAATGCTGGCACCGATGTCAGCCAATGTAATTGCAATCGGGATCGTCTAACCAAGCAGCTGCAGCGACAATGGCAAACACAAAAATTGCTTACGTCGCGTGTGCGCCTGCTTGAGGGATCGCGCAAGGCACAGGAGCGTCGTCTGCAGGAGGCGCTGGGCAGCATTACCGAACTGGCCACCCAAGTATCCGAGTTGAAGCGCCAGCTCGAGGATGTCCTGGCCAAGGGCAAGTCCAGCGCAAACGTAGCAAGTGGCGCTGTGAAGCGCACAACAGCAGTGGCCACCGACTGTTTGCCGCCCACCAAGAAACCAAAGGCTTAGTGCCGTCTCATGTAGGCTGTAGATTGTACTTAGGGGGTTGGCCGTAGGTTAAGCATCTGTACTTTCGAATATTCACACTCATACATACATATATTATAATTAATTACATAAGTATTTCCGATAAAGCAGCTGCCTCTAATAAGGATATATATATATATATATATATGTATATATATTTAATATAAATATATATATATATGTAGTTAAATAAAGTATATTGTGCATCTTGTAATATTTCGAGTTAAGATTTATTGTTGCACTTGTTATTTAAATATTGTATTACAATTTTACAACTATATAAATACATAGAACATCTAAGTTAAAGTTCTTCACATTTATAGCCATTTCCAATTGGAAAATGGACCGACTGCCTTATGGTTGCTTTTTATTGCTATTTTGGTTTGTCAAAATTGTGTGTGTTGAGTGTGTTTATCCGTTTGCTATAGCACTGGTAGATGATATATATGTTTGTATGTGTATATTTAAAATTACATCAAATTGGAACATCTAAAAATTGTAACGCTTTATCAGCTGCAAGATTTGACAGGCGTTTAGGAAGTAATTGCTTTAGTTTAGTTTCGCGTACGGCTCTGGGCCCACATCTATTGCTATTGTAATGCTGTCTAAGACTACGACTCCCGTTCACGTTAGATGTCTATATGTTGCCTATGGTAAGTGTTAATCATATATTATGTATTATGTTGTATAAAAAGGTAGTAGAAATTGCCACTCGTTAGCAGTGTGCTTAAATCTTTGTATTAACCGAGGCGAGCTCTTTGACTTAATCGTAGACTAACTAATTCCTAAGTTGATTTTTTTTAGTATATATATATACATATACAATCAATAACACACAGGATATATATGTTCTCAAGTAATAACAAAAGAAAATGGAAAACAAAATTCATTGCAAACGCGTTACTTAAACATATTAGTTGCTATATATATACACACAAATCGTTGCATATATAATTATGTCTGTATAAACTAGTGAAATTGCAAGCATTGCCACGCTGAAAAACCTACAAATCTATATATATATATACTACAATATTTATAAATACATTTATGCATATGTAGCCGTATGTACAAATATTTTTAAACGCTGCCGTTTAAATTGTTTTGGATCGTTTATCTCCTCATTAATCTTTATTGCGCTGGTTTAGTAGCGACGCCGACGATGCTACTTTTTCTTGACGGCCGCCTTGTGCTGAATCTTCTCCTGGAGCTGGCGTATCAGCTGCTGTATGTCGTCCACATTATACGCATAAATCAGTTTGCATTGCTTGGCTTGAATATTGCCGTTGTTGAGATTTTTTAAAGCATGCTGCAGGCAGTAGACGTTGCCCTCCTCGGTGCGCACCATCGATATATACAGATTTGCGCGGCACAGATCGCATTCGCTCTCGATTGATTTGTGAGGCGGCTGCTGCTGCTTTTTCGCTTTTTGGCCCTTCTCCGCCTGCACCTTTTCGGTGGATGTGACGCCAGCGGCCTAAAAAAAAATCATGTTTTATTAGGACGGACTGATTTGGCGTGCTCTTCATGGGAACATACTCTGAGCTGCTCGCGTGCCGCCGATTCCTTCTCGCAGACCTCGTTTAGCATGGGCAGCATCTGCTGTAATGTGTCCGAATTGACGCGCTGATCATAGCCCAAGGCGAAGAGCAGCTGCTCCAAAGAGAACATGGCCGGTTCGCAGCTCTCATGAATGTCCTGCAATGGTAAGCCTTAGTTCAAATGGCTGCTAAGCAACTAACAAGGCCAAAAACTCACCCTGAAATCATCTTTGGCCAAATCCAGCCACGACATGGTAGCGAAATAAACGCTCTCCGAGACAACATAGCCCGTGGCCAGGCTGGAGGTATAGGCGCGCGGAAAGACAACAATGAACTCGCCCGGCTTCTGCTCGATGCGGCACAGGGAAACGCCGCGATCGGTCAGCATGTGCGGAGGCACCATCACCGTATCACAGGGCAACCAGATCGTCTTGTTCTGACAGTGCGTCGGTATCAGCGAGGTCAACGCCGAACGGAAATTGGCGCTCTGGTCGTCGGGTATGCCATACCACAGCTTGGAGGCGCCCGTATGCAGATACTCAATCCACGAGAGACCGTGCGGATCACGATACCAACAGCAGGCGGAGAAGAGCATGCCCACATGGAGCGTTGGCACCGTAACGCCCATAACAGGTCCCAGAGAGCGCAGCACAGAACTCGCATTGTTGGTCAGTACTTTAAGGTTCCAGGGATGGCGCGCATAATTCGAGCCCTTTCCCTTCGGCCCCGGACTGGGAAAACCATAGCCCCAGCCGGAGCTATCAATGGACCCGGAATGCACACACACATGACTGTCGCGCACGGCAACATGGCGCCAGAATTCCGCCTCCACTTCATTGACCGTGGGATCGGTGCTCTTGAACCAGAGGGCCATTGTATTGCGCGCTATGCGATAGAATTGGCTGAGCGCCATGCTGCGACCCTTGACAATGCACTCCATGGAAACGCCGTCGATCTCCTCCTCGGACTCCTCATCCTCGTCCGTGGACACATCGTCCTCCTCGTTCGAAACGCTCTCGGTGCTATTCACAAAACGATCCGCATTGCGGCGGGCGCGTGCCTCACGCTTAGCCCAGTCCGCTTCGACTTCGTCAAAGAGCTTCTGTCTTTCCGCCGGGGAGAGCGTGTCGTAGGGCAACAAATACTTGCAGTAGATGTCATCCAGTTTGGTCACCCGATCCTGTGCCAGTTTCGGTATGCACATCTCTTCGGCCACGCGCGCCCACTTCTTCTTCTCGATGACCTCTTTGAGGCCGCCGAGCTCCTGCACCGTGTGATACAGACGCGGCAGATCCACCTCCATACCGCCAATCCAGGGTGCATGATTCATCACAATGCTCTGCGTGGCCAAATACTTTTTGATTGCGCTCAGCTCCTTGGCACTGGGTCCCCAGCGATGCAGCATCTTGTGCACGTATTGGTTGTACGCCGTGAAGCGCATCTCGTCCGAGATGCGGCATTCGGGCTTGAAGCTGGCCGGCGGTATGATCTTGCAGATGCCAAATCTGGCTGCAATGGGCGTGATCCGCTCAATGAACTCGATGGGATCGGCAAACTCCTTTTCGGTGGGCTTAAATATGGGCGCCTCGACCATCTGCGTGGGATCATCGTGTCGCGGGAATGCCGTGTTATTGGCCATCTTAATTGGCGTATCGTCTTTGTACTTCTTGGCCAGGGCGTTCGTCGCAGCCGCTGCTGCAGCAGCTGTACGCGACTTGCCGGAGCCGGAGAAGAGCGACGAATTGGAATTGACGCGCACCAGGCCACCAGCTGCCGCCGTCGCTGCCGCCGCCGCCGCAGCTGCTGCTGCCGAGGTGCTGGCTTTTAGACTGTTGCCGGCGGTTGCAGAAGCAGCTGAATCATTCGCCGCATTCAGCAGCGTTTTGACCAGCTCATTGTCCGGCATCGGCTTGGCGGAGTTCGTGTCCATTTGCGCCTTCGTGACCAGCGTCGCCTGCATGACCACCTTCTGGTTGGGCCCATCGGGTCCCTCGCGTCCCAGCTTGACGGCTACGCCTTGAATGCCACCCTCGCCGCCGCCGCTGGCTCCCTGCAGCAGTGGTATATAGAAGGTGGCGCCCTCTGCGTCCGAATCTCCGCCAGCGCTAGCAGCTGTTTTTGCTGCTGCTGCAGCGGCTGCTGTTGCCTGTTGTTGCTGTTGTTGTTGTTGTTGTTGTTGTTGCTGCTGTTGTTGTTGTTGCTGTTGCTTTTTGCGCGCTGCTGCGGCTGCTGCCTTGGGCTTCTCCAGCTTATCCGTGGGACTGAGCGTCAGTTGAACCGCCGTCGCTGCCGCTGTTGCAGCTGCGCGTTTCTTTGTGGGCGAACGCTCGCTGAGCGCAGGCGGCGGCGCCGCCGACTCGTTGTCCGCGTTGCGACGTCGATTTGTTGCTTTGCCCGCAGCAGTTGCGGCTGCTTCCTCATCCTTGCCGAAGGCATACACGGAAGTCTTTTCGGCCGCTTTGCCCGACTGCTGCTGTTTGTTGTCCTGCGCCTGCGTTTGGGCTTTGCCCTTGCTCTGGCTCTGATAGACGGGCGTGCGCTTCGCCGGCGTTGTCGGTCCTGTTGCCGGCGTGTTGTTGCTGCTGCTGCTGTTGGTGGGCGGCGGCGTGGACAGTTTTGATGCAGCCGCAGCTGCAGCCGCATTTGCCTGCTTCTTGTTGGCCGCCTTCTGTTTGCTCGGCGGCGGAGGAGTTGGGGTGGCGCTTGGCGTTGAAGTCGCCGCAGAGCTGCGTTTGCTGCCCGCAGTAGCTGTTGCTGCCGCCGCCTTGACGCTATTGCTGGCTGCATTCTTGAGCTTCTTCTCGCTAAGCTTCTTCTCGCCAGCAGTAGCTGGCTCCAGCTGTGTTTTCTGCGTCAGATTCACGGGCGTCACGCACTTGTCAAAGTCCAGCGTGTCCGGGTCCGTTTCCGTCTCCTTGCGATTGCACGCAGCTGTGGCAGCTGCTGCCGCTGTGCTAACCAGCACCGGGGTGGCCTTTAGCGATGGGCCCTTGGCTGACCAGGCGCTCTCGCTTTTGCCCAGCTCGCCGCGCGTGTTCTTCGAGGAGCTGCTGAAGCTGGTGCTCTCCTTGTCGTCGCGCGTGGGACCTGGCGGCGTTTGCGCCTGCTGCGGACGCAGGCTGTCATCGTAGTCATCGTCTAGATCATCCTGGATCTCGTCCGGATTCGAGCTGCACTCGATAAGCCACTTTTGTATCTGCTCGTGCGTCATATTCACCTTGGCCTTGCGCCGCTCCTTGCTGGTCAGCTGATCGCCAAAGTAGCCCTCGGTGGGCACCACCGGACCCAGCACCGGTTTGTGTATGGAACCGCATTTGCCCAGCGTGCACTTGGTGTTGTCCGGGCCGGAGCTCTGCGCCAGACTAACGCTGGCTATGCCAAAGATTTTGCCCGACTCCTCCTTGCTGGGCATGAGCGTCGCCTGGGCCAAGATACTGCCAATTTCATCTTTAAGTGGATCTGCATTGTTGTTGTTGTTGTTGCTGCTGCCGCCGTTGTTGTTATTGTTGCTGCTGCTGCTGGGCTGAGTTGCAGGCGTTGCTGTGGGCGTGGTTGGCGCCCCTGGCGACACCTGCTGCTGCTGCTGTTGTTGTTGTTGCTGCTGTGCGGCGGCAGCTGCTGCTGCTGATGTGGATGCCACAGCCGTCGGCGTTGCAGTCAGACTGAGATTAAGACTTTGACTTTGACTTTGACTAACTGCAACACTTTTTGGGGCAGCTGCCACGGGCGTCGTCAGGCTGTTGAGCGTGCCACGCGCGGCTGTCGGCGCCGCAAAACTGTTGTTGCCAAGCAGATTGCTGTTGCCCGTCGAACTGCTGTTGCTGTTGTTGATGTTCATGTTCATGTTGATGTTGTTGGCGCGCGGCAAAACGCTGCTGCGCTCGTATTTGGGCGTTAAGAAGTTGGGATTTATTTTGGGACATTGATAGGCTTCGATGGGCGGCGGATAGGTTGTGGGCGGCGTCTGATATTTGAGTGGAGATGTCACTGTGCCCGCTGTGGCCAGCGTTGTCGTCGCCTGCTGCTGCTGCGGCGTCTTGTTGCCCACAGCTGCCGCAGCAGCCGCTGCTGCAACGGCACTAAATGTGGGCGGCCGGACATAGGGTGTGTGATAGTGCGGCGATGCTTGCGGCAAATAGGACGAGGTCTTGGCAAAGCCCACAGCGCCCGCGCCAGCTCCAGCGCCTGGCAGCGCATACGTGGCGGGCACATTGAGTATCTTCGACGTGGGCACCGGCGACTTCTTTTCCATGGCCTTCAAGGTGGCTGCGGCGGATGCGTAGCTGGGCGGCGATATGGAGTACGGCATGTGCTTGGCGGTCAGCGGCAACATGGTCAGATGCGTGCTGCTCGACAGGCTGTTGTTGGGCGTGGCACTAGGCGTGGCACTGGGCGTGGCGCTCAGCTGTGGTTTGACAATTGTTGTCGTTGCTGTTGTGGCTGCTGCTGTTGCTGTTGCTGTGGATGCTGCTGCAGATGTTGTTGCTGCTGTTGGAGTTGTTGTTGCAGCTGCTGTTGTTGTTGCTGCTGCATTCTCCGCTTTGCTGCTGCTGCTGCTGGCTTTGGCTGTTGTTGTTGTTTCTGCTGCTGCTGCAGGTGTTGTTGTTGCTGCTGCTGCTGCTGCGGCAGCTGCTGCAGTGGCCGCTGCTGTTGGCACTTTTATGGCCAGCGGCTCATCGTCGGAGTCGCTAAAACTCTTTTCCAGCTTGCGCTTCGTTTCGTTTAGCTCCTCGTTGATTAAAAAATCCTCCTCCGCATCGGAGTCGTCTTTTTGTTGTAGTTGCTGCTGCTGCTGTTGTTGTTGTTGTTGTTGGTTTTTTTGCTGTTCGGACTTGGCTTTTGCCAACGCCAGCGCACCCTTTTTTACCAGCATGCCCTCAATCTGTGGCTTGACGTTTCCCGCTGCTGCTGTCGCTGCTCCTGCTCCAGCTCCACCTTTTGCTTGCTTGGGCGGTCGTCCGCGTCTGGCCGGCGGCGCTGCTGCCGCTGCTGTCGGCTCAGGCGCTGACTGCGACTGCGTCTCGGCAGATGCAGCTGCAGCTGTTGCTTCAGTTGCTGCTGCTGTTGGTTTGTTTGACTTTTTTGAGGCAGGCGCCTCGCTCGTTTTGCCCGTCGCATTTTTCTTCATCTCCTTTTCCATTTTCTCCATTTGCTTGACATTGGGTATGTCCGGAAAGCTGCTCAGCGAGAGATCATCCTCCTCGTCATCGGCCAGCTGCAGCTTGTGTCCAATGATGCCCATGTAGATGGCCGCCGCCTCCTTCGTTTTGCGTGACGGTCGCTGACTCCGCTGCGGACTGGGACTGGCCGAGCGCTCGTTGGCTTTTTGGGCTTTGGCCTGCGCCTGTCGACGCACTGGACGCGCATTGTTGTTGGCCTGCTTTTTTGGCGAGGGCGGTGTTGACTCTGGCTCTGGCTCCGGCTCCTGCTCGTCGTCATCTTCGTCGCCCGGCTGCTCGGCTTTCTTTTTGAGCGCTTTGCCGCGCCTTGCTTTGGGTTGTTCTTCTGCTTTGCTGGCCGCGGCGGGCGTAGCTGCCTTCTCTTCCTCCCGCTGCTGCTTTTTTGCCGATCCGCCAGCTGATTTGCGTCCACGTACGCTGGTTGTGGCTGCTGCTGCTCCTGCTCCTGCAGCTCCGCCCTTTTTGCCACCCTTTTTCAGCTTTATAGCCTTGGCCAGCGGCTGCTCATCATCGGAGCTAAAGTCGAACACATTGAGACCCTTCTGCTGTTCAGAAGCTGCTGCAGCTGTTGCTGTGCCTCCATTTTCCAGCTGCTGCTTGGCCGCGTCTTTGGCATAAATGCTGGAGTTCGTCTTCTCCTTGCCGATCTCGGGCTGTTGTTTCTTGGGCTCTGTCGCTGCAGGTGGTTTCTTCTGCTCCTGCACATCCTTCTCCTTGTCCTGCTGCTCCTTGTCCTGCGGCTCCTGCTTGGGCGGCACCTTGACGGGCTCAAAAAAAGCACGTTGTCGTGTCATGCGCCCGGAAGATTCCGGTGATGGTATAAATATGGGCGATTCACGTTGCCGCACACGCTTCACTGGCCCCTTTTCCTTATCCTTGCCGGCACTGTTGTCCGTGGCAGCTGGTGAATGAGATGCAGCTGCCTTTCTGCTCGCCGCTTGGCTGCGTCCGCGCTTGGCATTCGAATGCGTGGTTTCCGACTTGGAAAGCGTGTCGTCGGCGCCGCCATTACGTGAGCTGGCATCGTGCGCCGAAAAGAATTCGTCATCGTCCTCCTCTTGATCCTCCTCATCCTCTTTGCTGTGGTCAGCTGCATCAGCTTTATCCCGCTTCTGATGCTCGGGCTCATCATCCTTTTCCCTGTTGTTGGCGCGATTCGAACGACGTTTTAATGTCTCTGGACGCCTTGCGCCTCGTCTATTTCCCTCAGCTATCACCTCGGCGCGTTTGCGCACGGCACCCGCCAGCAGCAGAGGCGCCGCCGGCAGCGGCGTCACCGCCTCAACTTTATCACTAGCCGTTTTATCATTCGCCGCCAACTGCTGCACCTGCTGAATCTGCTGCTGCTGCAGTTGCTCAACTGCAACTTTCGCTGTTGCAGTTTTGGCAGGTCTGCCGCGTTTCTTCTTGTTGCTGCTGTTGTTCTTCTTTTTGTTGGCGTCGCTGCTCGGCGGGACCTCGTTTGGTTTGGATTTGCCCTGATTCAAATAGTCCAAGTGGGCTGGAAGCGCAGAGGTGCCGCGGAAGCAGAGAAATGTTAAAAAATCCTGCGGCTTGGGACACTTGTTCGGCAATATCTCAATTGGCGGCTGGTGGCTTTCTGTGGATGTGCTTGGTCCAGACGCTGCCGCTGCAGCTGCCGCGACGCTGGCGGCACTGAATGGGCCCGCAGCGCTGGGCGCGCTCTGTCCTTGCGCGAACTTACGCTGTGCTTGCACCTTCGTTCTGCAATAGATTGGTCGCAAAAACAGGGGACGGGACACAGAAAAGATAAAAGTGTGAGTGAATTTTAATTGCTAGCAGATGCAACTGGATACAAATTATACGCAAAATCAAAAACAAGAAAAACGCATTGAATTTCCCAACACATCACAAACACGCACGCACCCATAAACACACGCACACATGGACACCTGCTCTACCCTAAAGCAAATGCGAATCAGCCCTTTGCCTGCACAACAACAACGCCACGACGCTTGTGCAACAGTGTTGTCCAGTTTGTTTTTAAAGCTAAATTTAGCCTGTTTTTTAAGAGACAATTACAGCTGTTTTGGCTATTTTTTATATATTGTATCAAATTGGGAAGCCTTTACCAACACTAGTTGAATTGGTACATATTAATTATTTTTGGCTTGTTTTAGCTTTTTCGTAACTCTTTAAGTTGACAACACTGTTGCTTATACAATGGAGCGCACCACACTTCACGCAGAGCGCGAGAGTGGGGAGGGCGCTTAACAGTTAAAGTCTGCTGCTGCTGCGTCGTCATCTCTTTATACAATTTACATATATACATATGGAGGTATTTATGATCAAACAGAAAGATAGGGGGGCATAGGCTCACCTTTTAGGCATCTCGGGTGATGACTCTACAGCCACAGTCACCGCCGCCGCCACCGACGATGACGTTGGCGGTGTCTCGGTTTCCTTACGGCGACGCTTGTTGTCTTTTGAGACAACCATTTTGTCGCGAATTTTTCGCGCCTCTTTTTCCCCAATATTTCTCTGACACTGAGAAGTGGGAATGCGCTCGTTAATACACAGTTAATAATAAACTCTTTATTTGGTAGCAATCGCAATTTGTTTTTATCCCCCGTTCTCTGCATTTACATAAACGTACGCAATTGCCAATTTTCCACTGACATTACAAACACTGATTTTGTTGGTGGTGCCTGCACGAAGTTGAAATCATATTTTCGCGTCATATTTTTATTACTTCACCTAGCCGTACGCATTATAATTGTTACACTAAAATATACATTATTGTCTCACTGTTATTGTTATCGTACACATCATAAGTTTACATTTCACTGGCCGCAGAAAAATTTAATTTTTTTACGTTAGATTTTTCATTCTGCTTGCACATAATTTTTTTTCCCCACCGCTTTGCTTTGTGTCCGCCATGACATTAGAGATGAACAAAAACGTTCAAATATCGTTAAATATCCGCAATTTGGCAATCGTAATGCAGCTATGTATGCAGAGAAATAGATGTTTAAAATATGAAATGGGACACAGCTAAATGTCATGTACTTAAAACAGCTTAAAGCTGCGGTAAGACTTAATGTAATTATACCAAAAAAATTTTAGGCATTAGTAAGTCGTTTGTAGTAATTTGCAAAATTTAACATATGTGTTGCATATCGAAATTATCGTCGCCTATAATCGATCTAATGCACATCAAAATATACGTAAGTATCGTATGGTAAAACCTATCGGTTTTAAATATCGGTACAATATGAACATCCCTAACATTAATCGTGTAGCTTGTGAGTTGACAAAAAAATTTTTTAGTGGCAAATTTTGCAAATTAAGCAACCTACAACAAGCTGCACACAATGAGCGAAGGAGCAGGCAATTGGTGTCTCATAGAAAGTGATCCGGGTGTATTTACGGAGCTGATACGTGAATTTGGTAGGTTTAAGTGCCGCGCGCGCTTTTTTTTTTGCAAGAGGACGCGGAAGCTAATGCCGGCATGAAATGGCGCTAAGCGTGGTCCTCATCAATTAAACTGTTTATTTATTTCTAAAGGATGCGATGGCGCTCAGGTGGAAGAAATCTGGAGCCTGGACAGTGAATCATTCAAGGACTTGGAGCCGATACATGGTCTAATTTTTCTGTTCAAGTGGGTGCAAGAGGACGAACCTGTTGGCAAGGTGGTCTTAGATCGCGATCATATATTCTTTGCCAAGCAAGTGATTAACAATGCCTGTGCGACACAAGCCATACTTAGTTTGCTGCTGAACCTAAATCATGAGGACATCAAGCTAGGAGAAACGCTAACCAATTTCAAGGAGTTCTGCCAGTGCTTCGATCCCTACAACAAGGGCCTCACGCTGAGCAATGCCTCGCAGATACGCACCGTGCACAATTCGTTTGCGCGACAAACGCTTTTTGAGCTGGATATGAAAAACCAGAACAAGGATGAGGATGTCTATCATTTTGTTGGCTATATGCCCATTGCTGGTCGTCTGTATGAGCTAGATGGCCTGCGTGAGGGACCCATCGATCTGGGCGAGATCAAGCCGGAGCAGAATTGGATCGATGTAGTTCGGCCGATCATTGAGAAACGCATGCAGCGATACAGTGATGGTGAAATACATTTTAATTTAATGGCCCTGATCTCAGATAGACAGCGCATCTATGAGCAACAAATTGACAAGCTGCTCAATCCGGCTGCCAATGCCATGGACACGGCGGAAGATCGTCAGACTGAAATTAATAGCCTGCGCTCATACATACAGTATGAAATTGAGAAGAAAAAACGATATAAGGCATTTACTTTTATTATACATAAATATATATTTTACGAGCTTCGATATTAATTGAAATCTGTTGCTTTTGCAGGTGGAAAACGTGCGACGCAAACACAACTATTTGCCTTTTATTGTGGAGCTGCTCAAAATGCTTGGCGAGACTGGACAATTACTGCCCATCTATGAGAAGGCCAAGCAGCGGGCGCTGGAGCGCGAGCAAAAGATGAGCAAAAAAGATTCCAACTAGATTCACGTTTACCAACACCTTTCGATAACGGCAATTCAAAATTGCGCGCCAGTTGGAACATACAAAACATATTCTTATTGCTACGTTTAAGTAAAACAAATCTTTCAGCAAGGAGTCGCGTGTGTGTTAGTTAAGTCGCCCATATAAACTGCCTTGTATTGTATTTTACTTCTTTTGTACCCCCAAATGCCTCTAAATTGCTGCAAGTTAATATTCGGGTAAAGAACTCCATTTTGAATCGTAAATAAAAAGTTTCCGTACAGTTTAAAGAGAACAATGCGAGAGTCTTGGCGGTTTAGTATATAATATATTTGTTTATGTTATTTTTATATATATTCATGTATGTATATTGAATTTACAATTGCTATGCTTGGTATTTGATTTTTGCGTTTCCGTTTTTAATCTTTTATGTATCTATAATGTTTGTTGTATATAAGTATTGTATATAGGAATAATTGTTTTGTTAATCTTTTATGTTTGCTCTACTGTTACTTCAGTGTTCTGTTGTTGTGCGTGTGTCTCTTCGTGTTGCTAATTTAATTGTAAACTTTTCTTCGCTCAACTTACAAACTATATGCTATAGTTGATGTGTATATGCATATTAGGGAACTTTCTTGGGAGGTCTTTGATTTATTTTTTGAATTTTGGTGTTGCACTTAAAATCTAGCTTAACTCTATATACTGTATATATATATATATATATATGTTTGTTTAACTTTTGGAAAACTAAAAATGAAAGAATTTGGAAACCGAAGCACGGGCTACAAATGTAAAGAATCAAGTTATTGCCAAGGTTTGGCATAAAAAACTATGCTTGTTGGAGTTTCCGCTTTATATCTAATTGGAATTGTATTCTCATTACCGTTATGATGGTAGTTTCAATTTGGTAGTTTAAATTTGTTACACTAATTTTTACTAATTTCTCGTATTTTCTTTATAATTTAGCACTTAGTTTTCAATAATTTACTTAGCATCATTTCGCTTAACAATTTCCACATTTTGCGTATAATTTTGTTTTTGTTTTTTTTTTTCGTTTTGAAGACACAACAGTTACTGGTCCAGTTCCAGGAAGTATATGTAATATGTATGCGTGTGTATGTGTAAATTTGTTGTATTTGTTGTTGTAGCTTTGCAACGCCAGCGCAGGCGCTAAGGATAGCTTTTACCGTTGCACATAACTGTATTGCGTTAATTCGCTGCACGCATCGCTCTGCTGCGTGGCTGCTGTCAGTGCGGCGAAGGCGTGTTGTGGGCGTGGCGCTGGTGTAACCAAAGAATTTGACGCCTGCCCATGTGGCTGTGACGATTGCGGCGTGGAATCGTACTTTGCTAGATCGACACTTGTTGCTACAAAGAGACAGTAAAATTAAAATGACTTACTAAAATTGCAAACCTTTTAAAATTTTAACGAAATAATTTAAATTTCAATTAACAGTTGCCCGTTGTACTGGAAATATTGCAAGCCGTAAATATTTTCATATACAAAATGCGGGCTAAATTTTATTGCTACCCAAAATTGGCATTTACCAGATATGATTGGCTAAATGCAATGTTCGGGACTAAAGTTTTCTATTTATCTCAAACCATTTTGAAATAAAGAGAGAAAATTAAATATTTACGTCACATAATTAAATATTTGAACTTATGAAAGCGAATTAAGCGTTAAAAATAATCGATTAAATTTGGTTAACTGGTCACACTTTAAGTGAAAATTTAGTATTTAATCCAATTTGAACTTAAAAATCCCATTTGTTGTAACTTTGAATAAAAGAGACACGAACATGGTTTACCAGCCGCATGCAGGCGATTGTAGAGATTCTTGCGCTTCTTTTTCAAGAGTACGTCCAAATTGTAACTGTCCGGACCAGCTCTGAGAAGTAGATTTAAGCGATTCAGTATTAAGGATTTATTAAGTCTAATGAGTAAACTTGAAGCTCACTTGTCGGGTCGTCCGTTGCCCAGCAGCTCCTTGAATGCCACATAGATCTTGTTTAGCGTCAGATTGGATAGCCCCTGGCCCAGATATCGTACAAATTTAAGTTGTTCACATTTGGATAAAGCGCTCTCGTGGAAGTCCAAAAAGGGTCGATGATCGGATATCTGATATTCCTAGTTTAATCAAAGCAAAATATGTGAATCAGTTAAGAAATGGGTTCTACTTTAGGGAACGGCAAGAGTTTTGTTCTATGCTCTAGGGATGACGGTGCAATTTTGAGGTCTACTGATACTATAACAATGAATAATGCCAATGTGAGGATCGTATATTAAAGATAGCCAATTTTTGGGTAGGGTTTGGGGTTCAAGAACAAAGCTCCGCTGCACGCTACGCAATCGCCTCCATCCTGGATAGGATGTGCGCGTCTAGGATGAGCACGTCGATACACATTTGCTCACATTGCAAAACTTGATGAAGTTCTCGATGAGTATGCACTTTTCATAATTGCTCAGACATTGCTGGCTACTACTCTGTATACCGAACTGTTTCAATAGCTCCTGCTTCTTGGGCGGCAGGCGGCTGATGTGCGTGCAGACACCATCTTCGATGCGATGCGTCTCGTGCACATTGAAATTCTCATAGATGATTAGCTGTTCTAGGGAACGCGGCGGCGGTCCCAGCGGCGGCAGTGACGGTGGCGGCAACAGGGGCAGGGACGCAGGCGCCACACAGCTATAGCGTGTGTCCAAGGGTTGAGCTGAAGCCGTTGCTGTTACGTAGCTGTTAACAGTGTTCGTGCTGTTACTGTTGTTGCTGCTGTTGCTGTTAACGCTGCTGCTGCTGTTGTTATTGTTGCTATTGCTGCTGCTGCTGCTATTGCTGGCAAACTCGAGCGTACCGTCATTTGCGGCCGCCATATTCTTGAGGTCTACAAGAAAGAGTTTCATTTTTATAGAGAGAGCAAGGGGGAGAGAGACAGAGAAAGAGAGAAAAAGAGCGCAGCGGCCAATGCCATAGAATTGTGACGCTTGGCTAGCACAAATGCAGACACGCGAGAACAGGCTCAATAAATACTCATTAAAAATAAATAAACCTTTTTAGTTTTTTGCTATGTATGTATATATATATATGTATATTTGTTGTTGCAAACAAAATTTCGCTTTATATGTTTGTATATACATATATGTAGAGGCTGTGTATATAGTTAGGATGGGTTTTGCATATACATATAATTTGTTCCTGGCTTACTAAAATATATGTATATATACTATTACATATTACTTTCAATAGTTGCGCGTTAGCATGATTCTCTATAATGACAGTTTACATGTGTATGTGTGTGTGTGTGTAATTGTAATAATCTCTTTTCAAGGAATAACATTGCATAGTTCAGGGCGTGTTCATCGTCCAACAATTTAGTCGTTTAACATAATACATATTAAAAAAATTTGGCAATAAGCTTGTAAAATTAGACTACAAACGAAATACATACGCTAAGAGCAAAACAGGACAAAGACAACATGATAAACAAAAATAAACCAAATGGTGTAAATAGAAGAGCTAAGAGCTAATAATAGTAGTTGGGGCTTTTATATTGTTCGATTTTGATACTTTAGGTAGCTGGAGCCGCCTACGATTGTCAACAGGTGGCGCCACTGCCGCCATATTTGGCGCCACGCCGACGCCAGTCTCACATATTGGGCGGCAACGCATGCGGCGGCGGCTGCGTTGCAGTTTGGGGTGCCGTTGGCGCCACCTGTTGGCCATAGCCGAGGGGTGCTGCCATATGTGCGTGTGGATGCGGATGTGAGTGCGGATGCGGATGGGGATGGGAATGCGGATGTGGTGGCAGCCCGTAGTGCGTTTGATGCGGATGTGCGTAGGCAAAGTGATGCGGATGCGGATGTGGATGTTGCTGCATATGTGGATGCGGATGTGGATAGTGATGTGGATGCGGTGGCGCATGATGTGCGTGCTGTGGAAGTTGTTGCTGATGGTGATGCGGCGTCAGGGGCGGGCCACGCGTGGGCGTGGACGATTGCTGTTGCTGTTGTTGTTGTAGTTGTTGCTGCTGCTGTTGTTGATGCTGCTGTTGCTGCGGCTGCAGATGATGCGGCGGTGCATGTGGCTGCATCAAATGCGTATGTTGCGGATGCGGCGTTGCCGCTGCCGGCGTTGTGGGCGTGCCCGGCCTGGGCAGGAGCGTGCCTGTGGGTGTCATTGTGCGTGCTGCTGGTAATAACGGCGGCTGATGCTGCGACTGCGCTGCTTGCTGCGTGTGTAAGTGTGTGCTGCTGTTGCCTGTTGCGTGTGTGTTATTGTTGTTGTGGTTGTTATTGGGTGCTGTTATTGTTGTTGTTGTTGTTGTTGCTGCTGCTGGCGATGCTGGCGCTGATTCGCATTGCTCTTGTGTCTGTTTGAGCGGTGTGGATGTTGTTGTTGTTGTTGTGTTGTTGGTCTTGTTGCTGTTGTTGTTGTTGTTGTTGGTATTTTCGCCTAGTGATTTAAAGCGAATGCGTGGAAAAAGAACAAGAAGAAGAAGAACACAAAAAATTGAAGTCAAAAATTATAATTGTTTTTTTTTTAGATTTTTTTTCTAGTGTTTTTCCGCTCTTTTCCGAGCGCAAAAATAGGCAGCCAATTTTTAAATATATTTTTCATTTTGCGTTACGAGAGCGAACAGAAAGTGCATGTGAAAATCAAATATATAGAGCAAATGAGAAATGAGAAAAATGCAAAAATGCAAAAATAGAAGAAAATCATAAAGGAAAAATAAAACGTATTCGTTTTTGTGTATATTTTTAAAATTTAGCACATTTCGCTTGAAGCTATTTTGAGGTTATTTTCATTTTTTTTTCTATTGCAATCTATTTTTTTGCCTGTTGTTTTTTTTTCGTTGCTGCATTTGCACTATACTTAATATTCGCATATGGGCAAAGAGAGAGAGAGAGAGGGGGGTGTGGATTCGGTTATTTTGGGGTCTGTGCACTTACCAGCTGTTGTATTGGCCAGGAAGCGCTTGGTCTTATCGAGTATATAAGGCAGATTGTAGCCATCCTTGGTATAGCTGTGGGGGTGGGGGAAAGGGTATTTATAAGTATATGTATGTAATTTAGAGACTCTTTCATTTCGGGTCTACTCACATTTCTGTGCGTTTGGTGCAAAACAGATTCTTAAAATTGCTATAAATGCAGAAGAGCGTAAACGTTGGCAAACCTTGGCCTAAATAGCGCGCGAATTTGATTTGTTCGGGCTTGTTGAGGCCACACTGATTTAAGGATAACCACGGCCGATGATCCTTAATATCGTATTCCTGTGAAATAAATAGATATATAGGAATATTTATAAATGCACATATATCTACGTATGCTGCGCTCTAAAAAGTATGCTACGTATGCTCTATGAAAAACATCCTGCCTGTAACTTTGTTAATGTAAAAAGTAACGGCAATTTATATTATTTAGCTGAACATGGAAATTTCCGTTCCCTTTTTGGAACTTAAAACCAAGTTTATATAAAAACCCCTCCCAGGACGAGCAAAATAAACCTGGCCAAACCCCCTTTGCGGCTATTATAAAGCTGAAACTCATTTCCTAGCTATATAAATATATATATATATACGTATTACATATGTACCCATATATACCATATACTTATCTACACCCGTAACTAGTCTATGCCCAACCACCAAAGTAACCCTGAGAAACACACACACACACACACACACACATATACACATACACATACAGATGCAAATGAAAACTTTGCCCACTACTAATCAAAACTTATAATTCGTGTACAACGAAAAGTTGAAAACGAAAATTTTACAAAAGCCAAAAACTTGCAGACCCCAAAATGCAAACACAATCATAGAAAGGACTCTGCGCCTAAAAGCATGCCACACACAAGCGTGCACACCCCAGCACACACTCACACTCACACCCTCACACGCGCACACACACAATGTATATTTTATAGTGTAAAAATATAAAATAACGCAAAAACGGAAAGAGAAAGGCGGCAAAAGCAAACCCAAATAGAAAAGCAAACAACATTTTCAATGAAGCCATTTTCAACAATGATGGCGAGACGGGTTGAGGAGAACTAAGAGGAACTTGTGGGGGCTAAAAGGGTTGTCGCATGCCCATGTGCTTCTCTGTGCGAGTGTGTGTGTGTGTGTGTATGTTTGTGTCTGTGTTTAAAATAGGCGCAGCAGCTTGACGGACGGCTGTGTCTGTGCCTGTGCCAGTGCACGTGTGTGTGTTCTGTGAGAGAGAGAGAGAGAGTTAACAAGCATCGTCGACGCGTCGTCGTGCGCTCGTTCGTCGTCAGCGCTGTCCTCGTCGTCGTCAACGTTAAAACTTATCAACATCCTCATAATCAGCGCGACGCCAACGTTGCCACCCAAAGCATCAGCCTGCCAACTTCTAAGCATACATGGCAACGCTGTCGAAAATGCCAGTTGTGTGAATGTATGTACTTATAAATGTATAAATGTATGTATGCATGTGTGCATACATTTGGGGTTTTGATTATGTTAAAAATCAATAGAGCAAAAAGGAGTGACGACGCCCAGCCACAGGATACTAGCGTGCAGTAGCAGCAGCAGCAGAAGGAGCAGGAGCAGGCCAAGTCAAATTTACCAAAATACTTTAAGCTTGACTTTGTGTGTGTGTGTGTGTTTCAAATTATGAGAGCGCGAGAGCTCGAGTAACCAATTCAACGCCTTTTCAATGATGACAGGCCCCTTCAGAGGTGTTAGCCGTGAAGAGGGCAGCGTGACGCTGGCGACTCATTAACAGCAGTATGCGTGCGAGAGAGAAAGAGAGATAACGAACTACAAAGTGGGAGAGTGGTAATGGTAAGAGAGCCGAGCTTGACTGTCAAGCCAAGTGTTGCTGCTGCTATTGCTGCTTGATTGTTTTGGATGCTGCGGGTGGCTGGAGTGTACGTTTTGTGTGTTTACATTCCCATAGCCGCTTAACTGTTTCATAGCCACAAAAAAAAAAAACGGGAAGCATGAAAGAAGAATGAAGGCAGCAATGGCAATGTGTTGCGGTATTGTGTTTTTGCTTTTCCTTTTATTGTTTTGCTCTGTTGTTGTTTTTCTTTTATTTTTTGCAACCTATTGGCAGCACGCAGACTTTGTGTTTGTGCGTGCCTGTGCGTGACGTATCCTGCCCTGCTCTCTGACCGTGTGTGTGTGTGTGTGTGTGCGTGCGTGTTTGTGTGTGGCGGCCTGCGGTTGTTGTCTGTGGTGTATGTTGTGTATATGTGGTGTGATGCGACTTGTTGTTGTTTTTATTGAGACAAGTGTGAATTGTTTTTCTTTCTGTTTCTGTTTTGCTGCTTGTGCGTGCAACAACAGTTGTTCGTGTTGCCGCCGCCTGGCAATGATTTTGTGATTTTTGAGGGTTGCGTGTGCGCCCCAGTCACACATCGTGTGTGCGTGTGTGTTTGTTAGGGAGGCTACAATTTTCACACTTTCACTCTTTGCGTTTAACAGGTTTTTAACAACAATTTAAGCGGCGCACGTGTGATAAAAGGGTGGAAAAGGCTCATTAATTATTACCCAAATGCTCGTTTGGCTTTTCATTATTGGGGGTCCCTACTTGGGTCTTAAGTTACTGTCGCCTGACCAGTAGCGATAGCTGAACGAAGAGTTAAACCTAACCTCACATTAGCCTGTTCAGCCAATGCTAATGGGCGGTCGGGCACGGTGGCTGCAGTGCGACAACAAAAGTTACATACAACAATATTTTATATGTATATTTTACATTTTTGGCAACAATCTGCATATGCCCATGCCCTTGTAACCCCTTGTGTTCGTTATACAACACTAATTTAATACGGCCCCAAAGGCGGCAAAAACGACGCATGAACCTAAATATTTTATGTCCATATATATATGTGTGTGTGTGTGTGTGTGTGTGTTGACAGTGTATGTGCATATATAGTCATCATATAAGTTTGGCAAGTACAGTTATACGAATATAAGTATGTATTTACATAGTAATTTATGTCCGTATGTTTGCGTACGTGTGCGTATATAATTTAAAATTATAATCAATGTACATGTGTTTCTGTGTGAGCGCGTAAATTGTGCAAAGCCGAGACATTGTACCTGCCCCAGCCAAACGCCCAACGTCCTGCGCCCCGCGTCCCAACCCGCTCTCAACCGTAGTTTAGCTGTCCCTTACACACATACATATACACACAGATTGGCAAACTTATTGCAGATGTGTATTGGTGACTGCGGCTGCTACTGCTGCTGCTGCATGCGCATTTAGTAGCCTTCAACGACGCCGCTAGGGTCCCACACACAAAAACATACATAAATACATATGTTAATACATACGTACATGCATATGAAAGGACATACGAAGGCAGCTCAATGGACAGTCGGACAAACGCCCCAAGTAACTTGATGATTGTATGTATGTACAAGAGAGAATGTGTATGTGTGTGAGAGAAAGAGAAAGAGAGGGGCTCATATACAATTACTCAATAGCGCCCGCTTGAGCTTTTTGGGGGTTGCCAGACCCACTTACCCACACATAACTATATATACACACACACAAAACTTTGTAGTTTGAGCAGCAGAAACCGGTGCCTCTGCCGCTGCTCCCGGCAAGTAAAGTTTTGCGAGCAAAGGAGTGAGTGTGTGCTAGAGTAAGAGAGAGCGCGCAACAATTTTGAGCTGAACTGGTAGGGAGAGCAGAGCGACAACATCAAAGCTAGGCATCTTAAAACTAAAATGTTGTAATAGCGGCCGAAGGGCCGAGAAAGCAGCCATGTTGAAATAAGGTTAGGCCCTAGCTACTGCTGTTGTTTTTGTTGTTGTTCCTGTATTATGCCATCAATGCCGTTTCGTATATAGTTTGAGTGTGTGGGTTGTGCGGGTGCTGCTTCGACCAAATCTAGTTGATTGTGTGTATGTGTGTGTGTGTGTGTGCGTTCCGATAAAGCTGAGCGTAATGAGCATTTGTCGGTGTGAGAGTTGGGAGGGTTGCCTGGCATAGTGTTGAAAAGGCGCCAAATGTGTTGGGGGCGATTTGTCTGTGTGTGTTTGTGTGTGTGTGTGTGTGTGTAAATATAAATGTACATATGTTTGTATGTAGGTGTTTGGAATACACAGGCACACATTGGTGCCACACATGATTACAGTTGTATTTGTATGCTGAATTTGTGGTTGTGGGTTTTGTGTTGCTGCTCTGCCCCGCTCAGTTGACGCTGGCGTCGCTGCTGCTGTTATTACAATTTATAATGACATTCGTTGGGTGAGTGTGAGTGTGTGTGTGCAGATGTATGGGTGTGATATGTGCGGGCGGCATATAATAGAGTGAGAAATGCGCTTGTGTAAAGGATATGAACGGTGTATCCGCGTTATGAATATATATGATTACATATACATATCATGTTTATATATTTAGATACATATATACTTATATATAAATATATGTGAAGCTTGTGATTATGTTAGCGAAAATCAAATTCTATTCATACTTGTATGTGGTATATGTAATGTAATGATAGAGAGAATGTTGAACATTAATTGAAACTGGAAAAATGATTTGACTTGTTCAATTAAGCTTGCCATAAGGCATCATTGTACAACCGCTGGTAATATGCTGACTACAGAGTATCCCCCAGTTGATCAATTTTCCAGGGCTTACCTCACAAAATTTGATGAAGTTTTCGACAACAATCGATTTGTCCGTCAATGTCATTTGACCCGTGAATCGAACGCCCAGCTGCTTAAGGGTGTCCTTCTTCTTTGAGGGCAGCTTGTTCATGTGCTGGAAGATTCCCTCCTCCACCTTGTGCGAGGGATGCACCTCGAAGTTCTCCTTGATCACAAAGCTGCCCAATAGCTTAGGCGCCCCGCCACCTGCCGAGGCGCTGGAGCAACTAGCTCCGCCCAACAGGCCACCAAACTCAGCAGCGCTTCCGCAATGCTCCTCGGAGGAGGTGTTCGAATTGGAGGCATTCAGATGGGAGCTGGGAAAGGCGAGCAGCTCCAGCGACGACTCATTCGAATTGGAGGCATTTGAGCCGTTTGAAGCGCTCGTCAGGTGCTGCAGCTCGAAGATCGTTTGCTTCGAGTCGTGATCAAAGACGGCGTCCAGCGTCGAGGAGCTGGTGTCCAAGCTGTTGGAAGACCGCGAAACGGAAGACAGCAGCGCGGCGACTTTGCGCGACGCCGAACGCGACTTTTGCGTGATGCTCGTCGAGTCCAGATCCAGGAGGCCGGCGCCCACCGGCGACGCCGCCAGCGGTGGTGGTGTGATTCTGCCCGCTGCGCCGACTGCAGTCAGTTTGCTGCCTGCCTTGTCCGCCGCTGCTGCTGCTGCTGCCGCTGCGCCGTCGACTGCGTCGCTGCTGCTGACGCCGCCGCCGCTGCTGCTGGTACTGCTGCTGTTGGGCGTGAAGTCCGTGGAGTGGCGCAGATATTTGATAAACTCAAAGGAACCATCGAAATGTTGAGCGGTGGCGGCAGCCGCAGCCGCAGCGGCGGCGGCAGCGGCAGAGGCTGGCGCGTGTCCGTTTGGCGTTGCCACCGCTGTGGGCCAGCGATTGTTTGGCAACACTGTGACGCTTGACACTGCCGGCGTTTCGGCAACTTCGCGCTGCAACTGCGACGTCGCTGCTTCATAGTCGAGCTCAGCGCTGCCGACGCCGTTTGTGCATGAATACTGTGATTGTGGTTGTTGTTGTTGTTGCTGCTGCTGCTGCTGTTGCGTTGACTGTGCAAACACTTGAAATTCCTCGAAATTTGTGCATTTCAGCTCGCCATTGCTCAAGTACTTGGAAAACTCTGAAGGATCGTTCAAGGAGTTGAGAAAGAATGAGCTAAAATTGCTCGATATGCAGGACATTTTTAAGTTCTTCTTTTTCTGTAGTTGTGGTTGTTGTTTTTGTTGCTAATACTGTATATAATAACGCTTATAATTACGTGTGTGTATATGTATTTATTTATATATTTTTAAAGCTGCTCCTTTTGCTTAATTATAGTAGTTGTTGTTGTTGTTTTGAAAATGATGGCACATAGAATGTTATTCACTTTTTTTTGCTGCTGTTTATTTTCTTCTTCGTTTTCTTTTGCTTTTGATTTGCGCAGCCTAACTGTTAATAATTTACACACATACGCGCACACACAGCTGCATACTTGCGCTGCCGCTGCTGCTTTTTCGAAATTTACTTTTAGTTTTCCATTTCCAGCGTTTTTCTTACGTTCATATATTATTACAATTTTCCCCCCACATACACACACACACGAAAAACATTACTTGCACATGTGTGTGTTTGTGTGTATATAAATTTTTCTTCTTATTATAGCAAAAGCAAAGTGTAATTTATTATTCTTATAGCTCGCTCCGCTGCTGCTGATGCTGATGCCGTTGCCTCTCTCTCTACCTTTCGCTCCTTGAGACGGCGACGCGGCCTTTTCACCGTATGTGGTCGCTTGTTGTTGTTGTTGTTTTTGTAGCACTGTCTTGGCTAGCATGTGCAGATGTGTGTGTTTGTGTGTTCGTTCAATTGCCTGCCACTGCCACTGCCCCTGCTCCACACTCAAAACTATTGCCAGCTCTTTCGCACACGTATAAGCACATAGCACATGCACTGCTTCTGCCAACGGCGACGGTGGCGCATGTATTGCCCTGCAAATAGGCGGCGATTTCAAACTGGTCTCTGCTCTGCGGTCTGGGCTGTCTTTTGGCTATCTTATTATTATAATTCTTTTTTTTCTGTATATTTTTGCACTATTTTCACTTGACTTTGCTTCCTTTTTCGTCATATATTCGTTTCAAAACACACACACATAGAATCACAAACAAAAGTTATTGGCGAGGTGCGGTCGCGACGTTAGGTTTATATTTCGTTTTCCTCTTACTTTGCTTTCAAAACAAATGCCGCCCATACGTTGTGCTGTGCCGTCGCCTAGCGGAAAACGGAAAATCTTATGTTGTATTTTCACCGCTACCTCGTACAGCAACGCAACGTAACCGTACCGCACTCGAATGAGAACTGAGCGGAAAAATGAGCACGTTTGTTAATCTGTGCATGCTTTCTCTCTTACCAGCTCACAGACGTTCTCTCTCTCTTTCGCTCGCTCTCGCTCTCACGTGTGTGTGTGTACGTGTGCTTGTGTGTAGCGCGCGCTCCTTGTAGTTGTAATCAAAATCAGTTGTTCGTTGTAGTTATTGCTGTTGTTGTTGTTGTTGTTGTATATGTGCCTTAGCGACTAGGAAACGTGTATTTCTTCCTGTGACAGGCTGCTTTTGCTCTTTTTAACCCTTCCATATAAACCTGATTTAATCTTTGATTATTATGCCAGCGTTGTTGTTGGAGCTGCCACTGCCGCTGCGGCTGCTGCTCTTGAGGATTATGGTTGCCTTTCCTTTGCTATTTTCGAAAATTCCACTAAATTATCCGTTCTGTGTTGAATACGCGTTTCTATGTGTGCAGGTAAAACAGTTAATTTGCCTAGAGTTGCCACACGGTTGTATTTTGCGGGACCACCTGGAAAGCGAAAAATCATTTTTTTTTATATTAGTTTTCCGTTTTAGGGGTTTTTCATTTACGACTTTTTCGTTTCACGCCGCAGGCTATTTCTTAAACATGAAACATAAATGGCTTGCAACGAGCAGGTAGCAGGTAAAGAGACATCCAAGGCCATAATAACGACATAAACCATGACTGCAATTTGCACACGTTGGCAACCCTGAGTCACTAAATAGGATAAGCACCCACACATCCCTCCGGCTCCATAGCCATAGCCACAGCCCGCAAAAATACTTAAGCCGCAACGCGACTTTTAGCACAATTTATGGCCATTTAAAATTTTGTGCAAAGAATTTTTATAGTTGTTTTATGCATATACATACATATATATATGTACATACATTTATATGTAGATACATTTTATATACAAGCACATTCGCCTTTTGTTCAATAAATATAATTGCCATTGCAGACGTTTTTAATTATAAATAGAGCGCGGCAGGGAAGTCATCAATTAGGCAAGAAAATAAAGGGGAAAAAACGTGCACTTGGCTTATTATAATTACCTTTTTGGCTGGCGTTGATGTTTTTGGCACAATTTCGTATTTAAATTTTTAACGTGCTTTTATTCCAATTTAATAGACACAGGCACTTAATTTTCGACGTTACAACACGCGCGCCACTTTACATTTTCCTATGTACATTCATATGTACATATGTGGGTAATTTTTCAATTAATTTTAATTATAAACTTAATTAGGAAATCAATGAACGAACGCGAACGGAACAAACATACACAATTGGGGAAAAGTCACACCAACAAGTGCGAGCGAGCAAAAATACACAAGTAGAACGGTGCGGCAACAAAAACAATGACAACAATACTCAAGTGCGCTGCGCATACAACAAAAACATCAGCGTTACGTGCCCCCAGTTAGTTTACTGTTTGAATAACATTATTTGTTGTTGTGAAAAAAGAACGGATGACAAAACAGAAATGTAGCGTAACATAACGGCGGCAATAACATGAACTATTTTGAGCAGCGAACGAGTGCGATTAACGCTGCCGTGAAGAGTCACAGTTACAGCGATTCCCAGTTGAGGAATAACAGTGTGACCGTGGAAAAATATTTGAATTTGCCGGCCAGTAGCATTTTCTCATTCAAGCCCAATAGCGGGCAAAAATAACATAATATACAATGAAATATTAATGGGTACGCATATTTGTTATAAAAATGTATATTTTAAATATATATAATTCTGTTTTGATTTCACAAACAGCAGCTAATATGGTATCGAAAAGTATCGATACTTCAATACCATAATAAGCGCAAAACGTGCGCAAGTGATAAAAACAAACCAACAGCATGAAATTCGTTATAAAAAGTATTAGTAAAAACTCTGGTCGCCTTGGCCAACTGCGGATCAAGGAGAGCAAGGAGCTACAGACGCCTCTGCTACTGCAAACAACCAAAGGCGGCAGCATTCCATACCTGAGTGCCGAGGTATTTGAGTTGCTCAGCCAGGACCATCAACAAATGCTGCAGCTCACCTTGTCCACCATGGAACAAATGTCCGAGTCCTTGGCACAGTGGAATCGCAGCCTGAGCGATTATGTGGGCTATCCGGGCTACAACACGCTGTTGTTGCTACGCGATCCTTGTGAAACGACGCCAACAGGTGGCAACGATAGGGATGTGGTGCCGCTCTTTACGCGGCACGGCAAGGAATCACTTACAGCCGCACGTTACCTGGACATCGTGGCCAACTTTGCGCCGGACGTTTATCAGGGCTTATGTGACGCGGACACAAATCCCGAGAGCACCAAGAAGCGAGTGCAGAAATCGGTGGATCGCACCGAGCGCTTCATGGAGCAGTGCTACGAGCAGCACAGCAAGCTGGAGCGACTGAAAGATTCCACGCTCTTGGCACCCATTGTGGGCGGCTACAGCACATTCGCTCGCACACAGTCCATCAAGCATGCACGTCAACAACCAGCCGGCAGCTATGGAGGCTACATACTGGAGGGTTTCCATACGAACGGCTTGGCTGCCACAGAACTTAAGCCCGCACAACTGTTGCCCATTGTCGAGCATTGCGTGCAGCAACTAGAGGAGGAGCAGCTGCGTCTCATGCCTGGCGCCTACACGCCTTTGCTGTTGCTGGAGCTGATACGCTTGGGCGTTGATGTCTTCGACACCTCCTATGCGTATTGTGCGGCCGTAAATTACAAGGCGTTGACATTTAGTTATGTCCAGGATAAAGATGAGCATGCGGCGTTCCTGGATGTCACGGACGAGGCCATCAAGGAGGACTTTAAGCCGCTGCTAAAGGACTGCAGCTGTCTGGCCTGCCAGAAACACACGCGTGCCTACATTCATCATTTGTACAAGACGCACGAGCTGCTGGGACCCATTCTGCTAATGATGTAAGAGATAAAGCTCAACATTTTACAACTTTCTGTATAATAATCAATCTTTTATTGGCCCAACAGTCACAATTTGCATCATTATATGTCGTTCTTTGAGGCAATACGAGTCAGCATGGCAGCGGATCGGCTGCCGGAGCTGATAGAGCATGTGAGAATGCAAAATGCGACAACCGAGGTCAATTATCGCATTGAGCCAAACAACAAGGTTGTGGGTAAGGCGGCCATGGGCAAGGGATTTATCGCAGCGGCCGTTTAACTGTCCTATGCGGTAAAAATTGGAATTTGAAATAAAATTGTACTTATCAATAACAACTAAAAGCCTCCTTGTTGTGTTGATGATCTCCTATATTACAAGCGAATGAAACCATGCGGCATCGATGTTGCCATTGATAATAAGCTTCACTTGCTCATAAGCTGACTCGTACGCATTGCCCGTAATGTCCTGAATGCGCTCGATCACCATTTGCTCCGTCATGTTCTGCAGTTTGTCCGCATCTGTAAAAATATATATAAATATGTATACTAAGCGTGCCTCTCGCGCTCTTACCACTCAGAGGCAAAAAGCCGACCATCTCGCAGAAGCCCACATTGAATGCGGTGATGTCCTTGGTCACGCAATACTTGGCGCGCACAAACACGAACACACGCAAATCGTCGGACTTGTGGTTGTGCGTTATAAACAGATTGTGTGGCAGCTGATTGTCGCACAGCCATTCGGTGAGGCGATGCAGGTTGCCGACTTTTTCGCGCACTTCCCGTTCAGTGTCTCTGGCCGTAATCACATAGCAAATGGCCTCCGTGGGCGACTCCGGCTTCAGGCGGTACACATAGTCGCCAGCCAGCGGCTGTAGCTCCACATTGTCAATGTACAAGTCGCGGGGTATGTGCACCATATGGAAATGCAAGTGATTCACCGAAGCCAATGCACCCGGACTGTTGTAGCCCAAACGTACGGCCGCATCATTAATGCTCCGCATGAAATTGATGCAGAAACTAAGCGCCGAAAGGGTGGCACGTTGCACCAAGTTGCTTTTCACATCGGGACAGATGAGCGTATGGTATTTGGTCAGAGGACTCTTGTTGATAATCATCTGAACCTCGGAGTTATCCTTCTCCTTGTCAATGGTCATCATCACCTCCAGAGCATCGACTTTATTGAAATTAAATTGTTTGGGCTTAAATGTGGGATTCAGACTCTCAATAGCCTGCGGCACGCGCCGCTTTAAGCTGCGCTCCGCATTCAACTGCGAAGAGGAGAGGACTTAGATTAATCTAAATTTTCCACAACTTGGAACGCACCTCTCCATAGAAACCATGCTTGCCGGGCAGCCTGCGGCCCTGCCTGGCCTCCTGCAGCTGATAGGCGAACATGCCGGGTATCTCGTGCAGCTGCATCCAGCGCACTTTCAGTGCATTCAAATAATGCTGCGCCTTCGACTCCAGGCTCATGCTGACTTTTTGGGCGCGCTTCTTTGGCTCCATTGCGCCCACAATAACGACAAACTGCAGCAGGGTTGCCAGGCTGTTGAAATGCCCGTTGCCGACTATTATTTTGACTGTTGACTCTTTTAAATTTGTACTTAGAGTATGCGAAACAAAACGATTTCGGCATACAATTTTTCTGATCGTACGCAAAAACGAAGACATGTTGGTAGATGGAAGAGACTAATGCTGGGTACAGAGAATTTTTTACAATTTAATTTGCTTGACAAAGGCGACAGCTCTGGCGTTGCCAGCTGTTTTTTGTTGTGTTTTGCAGTTGAACAAATTGTTGAATCGGAAATTATGGATAATCCAAGGCATGTGCGCGGCTCCTGCGAGAGCTTCTGTCCCGACGCAGAGGCAAAAATGTGAGCACGTTCTGTATAATATTTATTTTTATATTAATGCATATATTTTTCACAGGCGCATTAAAGAGAAATTGCTGAACTACTTTGAGTACAAAGATGGCAAAAAGCATGTACCCGGAATCCTGGTCAAGGAGTTCACACGTTCCGCAGCTGACGCCAAGGTACCCAAGGCGAAGGACATGCGCACTGAACTTTGCCTAATGAAAACTGTTGAATATCTGCTCAAAGAGTAAGTAAATGTCCTATTGGAAATGGAATGTCTAACTCCACTTTCACCTATTGCAGTATATTGACGGATGAACGTAAGCCCTACAATCTGGCATATGATTTTATATTCGATCGTCTTCGCATGGTGCGTCGGGAAATCGTCATACAACAGTTTGATGCGCGACAGACCATCCGATTGCTGGAGCCGATGATAATGTTTCTGGCTTACAGTCGCTATCGCCTGTGTGCGGAACCTATTGACAAATTTGATCCCAAAATATGCAATCAGCATTTGCAGGAGTGCCTGAATATGGTACTCAGCTGCTATAACAAATTGGACGAGGAGGTGCAAAAGGATCAGGACCAGAAAAAGCCCACAATACGGGATGCACAGCGACGTTGCTTTATCGAATCGTTATATCAAGTATTTAACTTGGGTACACCAGAGGCTCTGGTGCGTGGTCTAACGTTGCCCGCCGAGGTGCGAGAGGATGAGATCTTTAAGCTAGCCTTTGGCATATGCATGAACTATCACCAGGGCAATCTGTATCGTGTGATTAAAGGCCTGCCACAGTTGCCGCACATCATATGCGCGGTGGCTGCCGCAAAACTACAGACAATACGACGGCAAGTATTATCACAATGCATTTTATGTAGATTTTATTCATATTTTGTGTGTTGCAGGCGAATACTGGAAATCTTTACGCATGCCTACAACAACAAACAGCTCACTGTGCCGACAGCTTACTTGTTGCGTTTTACTTTAGTAGAGCCTCAGGAGCTGTATGAGCTGTGTCGTCATTATAATATAGCTCTAACTCCCGATCGCAAGGCATTGCACTTTATTAAGACTGATTTTAAAAGCGAAGCAGAAACAATAAAAGCGCAACGTGAACCTTTTATTGAGGAGAAATTGTCGCGTATTTATCTGCCAGAGGTGTTGCTGCTAAAGAAGCTGTGGTTATAGATCTCTATTAGCCGTATGTAAATTTAATTACAAAAATTAATACAAATAAGCGTAATTTAGTTTATTATACGCATATATGTATGTATGTATATATACATTTTTTATTTATTGGAATAGAAAAATCGGGCGGGCAGCCGGCAGGCAGGCAACCCTGCAATAAGACTTATCGTTATCGATAACAAGTTTGCATTATTAATAGAATAAATTTGTAATGCCCGGCAGTCTTGTTTATGCCAATTAATGAACAACTTAATGTGTGTAAAGCCATTAAAAATTGATAAAATAATTTAATTGCAATTTACAGCCCCCGGCAGGACGCTTGTCGCGCACACATCTGTATACATAAAGCGCGCGCAGGGTTGCATTTGATGTCGACGGTACGCTGTCAAACACTAACACCAACAAAAGTTGTACGCAAGAGAAAGTGCTTGAGCCATTTTGGAAAATACAATTCCGCCATATTTACCGGCAAAATTCAAAATATTTACATTGCTAGTAAACATTTAACGGCACGTATACAACATTGTGCACCAATCGGGCCGTGTGGCATCGCGAGGAGATCGAAAAGCGACACATTTGACAGACAACGTCTGCCACTGCCGCTGCTGCCGTCGACGCAGCGCCCCACGCACCGATGTCAATAGGACAGCAGTAGAGGAGAGACAAACAATACAATCAACAACAAAAACAACAATTTGCTACGCAATTGGCCAGCGGGTATGTTTTATGATATTCTATAATGGTTTGCTCTCTAATTGGCCATTTTCAGTGGGCCCCATCCACAGACGCATATACATACGAGCGCGCGCGCCTACATATACAGTAACCCGCAATCACACACACACGCACACTCACAAAGGCATACGTAAACACGCCAAACGATGACAAGTCATCATCAAGGCGGCAACTTTCAGGCCAGAGCGCCGCCAATCGTGAAAAATCTTTCACTAGCCGCAGCAGCTGTGCCGCTGCCCCTACCCTTACCCCTGTCCCTGCCCATGTCCATGTCCTCGTCATCAGTGCACAATCACAATACAAACACAACATCGCCTTTGTACTTCACACACGTTCTGCCGCCCACCACGGCAATTGTGGAGCATCAGCATCCGTATAGCTCCGAACTGGATGGTACGGAGCATATAGGCAGCGCTGGCGACAACGAGAGTTTTCTAATTGAGGAGATTATAGATGATTATGATGATGATGCTAACATTGTCGTGGACGCAGGCGAATTCCTCATATCTGGCGATGTTTACGAATACTATCCGGTGGATCGTATGGATAGGCTGGCAACCTCGGTGGGCATGGCCACAGCAGATGCGCTACCACCTTCAATTATTATGCAGCAGCAGGAGCAGGATAGCACCGATGAGGATGATGCCCAACAAATGGATGGTGAGATGCGCTTGTCGTCTGGCGACGAAGACGAGGAGGAGACGCCGATCATGCAACGTGATGCAAATGCCTTTGAGATTGCCTCCGAAATGTTAACTACAATCGAGTCAACAGCAGCGACTATCAAGGAGGAGCAGCTAGAGAACGACTACTATATGAAATCAACGGATGATTCCAATAGCTGTCACGTCCAGGACTTTAAGCCATTCGGCAGACCGCAACGCAGCAGCAACCTCAACCAAAACAACATCAGCAACGGCAACGGCCACGGCACGGCCAAGCGGTGGAAGCAAACCAAAGTGCCCATACGGATCACACAGGATCAGTTCAATGTGACGCTCTGGTCGTCGCTCAACTCGGAGGACGAGGACGAAGAGGAACTGGACTTGGATGACCAGCACACAGATCAGCAACTAGCCCCGCAGGCAGCCAGCAGTACAACGAGCAGAACAAATGACATGTCAAAGCTGATCATTGATGAGCATATGATGCATCATGATGTGCTCAGCGACGGCATTGGCAATGAATATGTCATATTGCCGGATCCGTTCAGTGCGGACGCCGTTACCGATGTCGAGGAGGTGGTGAATGCAATTATGGCCGATGGCGACGGCGTTGCCGATGAAGTGAAGGAACATGAGGAGGAGGACAGCCAATCGCTTAGCGAACAATATCAGCTGGATGAGGCATATGGCAGCATTGAGCTAATTGAGAATATGCCACAACCTGTTGGATTAATGACGGCTGTGCCCGAAAACACGCCTGCTCATCCAACAACAGCAACCGCAGCAGCAACAGCAACAAAAACGCTGCCCAAGCTTGTCCTGCAAAACAGCAGCACCAATGTGCGACTGAAAGCGAGCAACAACAACGTCAACAACAAGGCGAGCAAGCGTCAATTAACTACACAACCTCCGCCTCTGGTGCCTGCGACCAGCAACAACGGCGCCCAGCCACAGCTGCAACAACAGCAAACACATCAGCGTGGCAATCAGACGACAGCCACAATGACAGCAATGCCTGCGGCGGAGGAGGATGAGGAGCCGAAGTTTCGGTGCACACACCGCGGCTGCAACAAGGAATTCCGCAATCACTCCGCCATGCGCAAGCACATGCATACGCACGGTCCGCGCGGCCATGTGTGCAATGTCTGCGGCAAGAGTTTTGTGGAGAGCTCGAAGCTGAAGCGCCACCAGCTGGTGCACACCGGCGAGAAGCCGTTCGAGTGCACGTTCGAGGGCTGTGGCAAACGCTTCTCGCTGGACTTCAATTTGCGTACACATGTGCGCATACACACTGGAGATCGGCCATATCATTGTCCCATCGATGGCTGCTCCAAGTGCTTCGCCCAGTCCACCAATCTCAAGTCGCACATGTTGACGCACACGAAGCCGAAGCGCAAGTGGCCGCGGGCTCCGCAAGTGAGCAGCAAATCGCCGCTGGTGGCGCGCTATGGACGCTTGGAGTTTGGGGAGGATCCGACGCTGGTGTATGTGGAGCCCAATGAGGAGCTGGCATCGGTGCTTCTGGATAGCAGTTCGACACCGTCCTAACAAGCGATGCCGATGGCTGTTGTGATCTGAATCTGAATCGAGCGCGTGGAAGAGTAGCTTCTGTCTGTACAGTTAGTTGTAAGAGCCGTAGTTATCTAAGCGGGCGTTGGCGCAGAAAGTGTCCAGGGTAGAGCACATGGTGCTGGCTGCCCTGTGCTCAACGGCTGCTGCTGCTGCTAAGCCCACAACAAATTAGCTGCTAAGTTTTAATGGTAATGCGATTTATAGGTTTGAAGTTGGATTGATTGGAATGCCCGGAACGATGGTCAAAAGTTGTAGAACTTAGTTTTTGTATACCTTAAGTATAAAGTATGTCAACCCAAAATATCCCAAGCAACAACCCCACGACTAATCCTCCTCCAGTCCACTCCACTCCTCCCTTTCCTTCCCCTTGGCATGTACGCCTCCGCAACTTTCACAGGCAACGCGCTGTGAAATGCTTTTAGCGTTTTGATTCTAAACTTAACTGATAACTGCGCGGCCACTCGAATAACAAAAGGCAGCACAATTTTTTCTATAAAATCTTACAAATACAATTACTATTTAATACACGTAAACATCTAATAACAATAGGCTATATATTTTTGTAATGAAATTGTAACAATTAGTGCATTGAAGTGCGAAAGTAAAGTATATATAAAAACAAACAAAACGAAAAAACCCAAACTAAGATAACACAAATTAATTGCCCCGGTTCGATTAGTTTTATCTTAGAAAAAAAAGAACATTGATTATAATGTTAAACACTTGATAGGTTTATTTGAACGTGCAAAACTATATCTTAAATCTACATTAGCCTAGTTACTTTGAAATGAGAGCTTCAGAAACAGTTGAAAAACCCCTCGAATGGGTTACATATATCGATGAGGATCGGTCTATCAAAGGAGAGCCTAGTCACATTTACAGACAGATAAGCTTATGCGAGCGATAATAACGATCATAACGAGTTTCTGAATTTAAACATTGTAAATCTAAATCGGAATTATAAGAAAACTAGTTAAGATTTGCAAAAAATGGAAAATAAGCTAGTGATGAGGACGTTCCGTGCCACTATGTGACCTTGATGCCAGCTGCCTGTTGCACTCCGGGCAAAATATTTCCCATCGGCGTATAGCCAAATAGATTTCCAGTCACCGACAGCAGTACGGAATAATTGAAATACCAGAACACACAGAATAGGACCATAAAGATGACGTCTGTGGAATACACGCGATAAGGGCATATGCCAATAATTGCCTCGAATTAGGCATGACGAATGACAGAGTATCGGATTACAAACTTACGTATCGCTACACGCTCCCATTTTTCAACTACATAGAGTTCGGTCACCTGGAAACAGAAACGTGCAGATGATAAAAATTAATACACATAAATATGTATATACATATATGTGTATGGTATGTATGTAACTAGTAGCATCATATACAGTTCAGTTAAATATCAATATTTATTACTCACCATTAAGTAGCGGAACCACCAGTAATTGGCAAAATTTATAATATTGTTCAGCATGTTGAATATCAGTTAAGAACACTTCAGGACGGCAGCAACAACAGCGAACAACTGTAATTGGCTGGTAGGGCCTATTAATTGTTTAATCTTAATACTAAATGACATAGTGTTAACAACGTACAAAGCGCGGCGATTGCTTACCAGTGCAGAAAAACTCGACTGTAAACAGTCGAAACCGTCATCGTTATCGTTATCGAAAACAGCTGATTTCTAATTCTACATATTGTCTCGCATTTTGAAAAAATGCCGGAACACATTGTTAAAGTATTACAGCGCACCCAGCTGAGCCACAGCCAGTCGGATGCGAAACACTTTATTTATATATATAGCAAGTGGCTGGAGGATGTAACAGAGCTTGAACTGTTGCTCACAACGAGCAATACCAGCTACAAGGCCACTTTGAAGCATGGTGAAATCAAAAGCGCCGCGGAAGAATTGGAGCAACCGTACGATGAGTTCTTTGCGGAGTGTAAAAAGGCGCTCATCACGCAAATGGGAGTACCTGGCTTTGACTATGAAGTGGATGAGCAGCAAGCGCGCTTCAAGCTCGTCAAATGCACTGGCTTTGAGACACTTTACGTGGACGTGCCGCTGCGCAAGGCATCCAACTGCTACCAGTTGCTGGACGCAGCCATGGAAATGGCACAACGACAGCCAACAGTCGATGCAGCAGGGAATGCTGGGCAAGTCGATGCTGGAGCTAGCCAATCTAATGAATTGCTTATAGAATACGAACAGTATATTAAGGACTCCAAGCTGGCAGAGAAGAAATTGCTCAAAAAGTTTGTAATGCTCATCAATAGCAAAAAGCAGCGTATTGAAGAGCTAGAGCGAAGACTGGAGGAGCGAGGTCAAAATGCTGGACACGATACAGACACCGACATAGAGGAGCAGCCGGCAGAAGTCAGTGTGGACGGGGAAGAGGGCGACGACGATGATGTATATGCCGGCGCCACCCAAGTCCTGACGCAGAAAAACCGAATGCAGGAGTTATATTCAAATAAAATGCCATCCACAGAGTAAAGCGACGTTTCCACATCCATTTAATATCCAACATAATACACATAAAAAAAGGAAACTAAAATCTTACACATATGTATGTTTGTGTGAATGAATGTTTGTATATATGTATGTTTGTGTGTATGAATGTGTGTACATATGTATGTTGGTGTGCATGAGTGTATGTACATATGTATGATTGTGTGTGTTGCTTTCTTTTACCAAACAAAAGTCAAAGCTAACTTGCCGCTGTGCCACAGCATTTGAAAATAACGTCTTTTTAAATGGTGCTGTCCTCCTCGATTCTCATACATTCAAGTAAGCCCTGCAGGCTTTCATGCTTCAATTGCAAGTGCCGTGTGTTTGTGTGTGTGTTAGAAAGTGTTGACAATCTGATAAACAAATGTGTGTGTACGTTTGTATACCAGTGTGTACGTTTGTATGTATGTACGCATGTGTGTATATATGTATGTACGCATTTGTGTATATGTATGCTCGCACTTATTTATATATGTATGTATATTTTTATGCGAATATGTACATATATATGCGTGCACTTTTTATATACGTACGTACATACGTGTGAATGCATTTATAAGTGCACGTATTTGTTTATGCATGCGTGCATGTCCCCTCCTTCCTTTCATTGCAAACACATTCAATATTTTCCATTCCAGTGATTTGTTTTTTGTTTTCTTTAATAAATTAACTTTTTAAGGTGTACGTGTACATGTATAAATAAACAACAAATAGACTTTATAACATAATATACATTACAATTACAATCAATGTGTGTGTGTGTGTGTGTTATCTGCTTAGCTTAGAATTAGAGCAAATCAAGATTGCATTTTGGAATAAGTTACAATTGTCGTTGCAGTTGTTATTTTGGAATTACTCGTGAACAGAATGATTAAGAAACGAAAGCCAATTAAAAAAAAAGTTAAAAGCATTTTACATAATTGTTATATATGTATGCTATTTATATGTGTATGCATATGAATATACGTTATGTATAAATATGTTAGGCGTGTGTAACATTTGAAAGAGTAAACAATTGGCGCTGCGAAAGTGCACTTCAGACTCAAAGAGCAAGCAGATCCTCGTCAGCGCCGGGTTTCTTTGGTGTCTTTCGTAAGCTGTTGTCGGGTCCGGCTCCGATTCCGGATCCTGTCGTGGCACTTGCGGCGGAATTCGATGCATTGATCGTTGGAAGATTTTCAGCGGCTGCGGCCCGTTCCTCAAGGAATTTATCAAACTCGGAGCTGGTCAGTTCCTCAATGCCATCAATGTCTTTCTGCCGGGAGCAAAAAGAAAATAAAAACATTAGTCCAAAATTGAACAAGGAAAACAAAGAATGTGACAAAAAGCAAAGCAAAAAGCAAATGTTTAAATCGAACAACAAAAAAAGCTGATGTGTGTGTGTGTGGGTGTGTGGTTGGTTAATAGCTGTTGCTGCTTTGCTACTTACTGAGCTGCCCAGCCACGCCTCCATTTCGTCAATCTCATTCTCTTTCGTCGACTATGAGTGGGCGCCATTAACAAAAGACAAAAGGCAGACGACAACAAACCCAAGCAAAACGAACCAAATCCAATTTTGCAGTTAAAAACATAAAAACGAAATAAAACAGAATTGCAAATTTAAGAAATAAATTAAAGATAAGAAAACAAAATATTAGAGCGCCATATTAGTCAAAATTGGTTCTCAGGCAGCCGCATTACTCACTTTACTTACCACCGGCGGATCGCCGGCTGCACGTGGCGCTTGTTGTGCTGGAGAAGCTACGGCTGCAGCAGCTGCAACTGCTGCCGGCTTATGTTGCTTGTACGGCGAGGAGACGCTGCCGGCTGCTGCGTCCACAATTGGTATGTCGCGCAGCAAGTCGCTTTTGCTAGGTTAAACAGAATATCCAAGTTCAAGATTGACATACAACATTCATATATAGGAATAGCTTACTGGTTGCCATCGGTGCGTGACTGCGCCAGCATATCAAACTCATCCGCAGCGCCCGCGGGGACCGCTGCTGCTCCGGCTGTGGCGCCGCCCAGTTGCAGCTGCCCAAAGCTCTGTGGGAGATGCTCCTCGCTGCTCTCAATCAAGTCGATTAGCAGCTGATCACTTTGTGGCGTATTGCTGACAGCCGTTGCGGCTGGCGGCACAGCTGCTGCTGCTGCTGCCACGCCTGCGCCTGCTGTCGTTACACCCGGCACACCCATGGCAGCGCCCAGCACGGCAGATGGAGAGGTGACTGCTGCTGCGCCAACGTTGACCTGTGCTCGACTCTTCTCGTACCGCTGATGGCGCAAGAACAAATTGTTGAGTTCGTCGTTGATGCGCAGAAATTCAGCCGTCAGCTCGTCGTCCTGAACGCGCCCAATTAGATCGACAATGCGCGACTGCATCTCCTTGCAGGTGGCGGTCAGCTCGTTGAGCAGTGCATAGTCATCGGGACCCTCTTGGCCCGGCTTCATAACGCTCAGCATTTCGGCGAGTATGGACATATTGTTGCTCACAATTTCCAGTTCTGAGCGCAGCTTAGCCGCCTGTTCGGGCGTTAAATGCAGCGGTCCAGTTGCTGGCGGGGCAGCGACAGCTATTGCCGCATGCTGAGGCGATATGGTGTGCTGTGCGGCCATAAGCTGTGGATGCGGCATGGGATGCACCTCCGGAACACTCTGAAAGTTAAACATATACTTTAGGAAAATTGTTTAGCGACGTTTTGGTCATGTGCTGTTTACCCGTTGGGGCGTGTATATGGGTGCCATGGCATCAAGATCGGTGGGCGGGAACTCAATGCCCTTGTTCTTCAGCTCCATGTACATTTGGGTGACGCCATTGAGATCCGGTTGATTCTTGAATGCGTCTGCCCAGATCTGTATTAGACTGAGCACCTTCTCCTGCATTATGGCGGGCGGATCATTCTTGGGCCCGATCAGCTTGACCAGATCATTGATGAAGTCCTTCTGGGCGACAAGCACATGAAACGCCTTGCCGCAGTTCTTGACGCACGTCTCCAGAACAGTTAGAGTATACATAACCACCTGATTGTTCTTGCCCGCATTCTGTGATAGACGTTTGCGTATGGCGCGCATCGCATCACGTGCCGTGTCGGAGGATTCGTTGATCATGTCACAGATTTCCATGTTGGCTGCCCAATTTTCCGATGCCAAGCTCGCGTCGGTGGCGGCCTCTGCAAAGAATCGAGTATGAATTATTATATTGGTTTTATTTTTTTTAATTTTTTTTAGCCGAAAAACAATTTGTTTAAATATTTGCTTTGCTTTTTAGCAGTCAGCTGCACATTTGTGTTTTTTTTTTTTGTTGTTTATTTTTGCGTCGAGTCATCGCATTTTGTTTACGCAAGGAAAATCAACAAAAAAAATCATGCGGCAGCAATAAATTTTCAGGCAATAGCATTTTTTATTGCAGGTATAAAGGAATAAATATGCATATATCATAAATTACTTTTAATTAGAAAAATAATTAGTTTCACAAATCTTAAGGTGACATTTGGCCCGTGTAAACAGATCAACTTGCTTGCGTAGGCGACATGTAATAAGTGCGAGCGAAAGAGAGAGAGCGCTTGCGAGTGCAACGCACTCGTGCCCAATTAAAACGTATGGCAACAACAAACATTCTCCCAAAATCAAATCAAAACAAAAAAGAGCGAAAGCAAAGTGGAGCGAAAAAGAAGGTGAAGCAACGAATTAGTGAAGCAGTGCAAATTAGTGCTAGTGCAGACACACACACACACACACACACACTTGCACTCTACTAGCAAGTGACTACGAAAATTGACCAGAAAACAGAAATGAATAAATTAACACATTTATGTAACCAACAACAAAAGTAACGGCAACTTTTTGATGACTAATTGCGTATCAGCTTTGCAAGGAGTAATCCGTTGAGGTGCGTGTGCCAAATTATTGCTATATAAATACTTTTTGTTTTCTATTCAGTTGCAATTGATGAGTAACAAATAATATATGTATGTTTGTACATATAAATAATTGGGTATCTGTTTATTTTTCCGTATGTGTCATATTCGTCAAAGGGGCGCCTCTTATTACAGCCACAACACACAAACAGACACACATATGCACATGCACACCTATGTGAATGTGTACTATCTGTCAATGTAATCTTATCAGACAATTGGCAATGCCAGTGGGAACCATAATGAGAAATAGTGGCAGGGGGTGAACTGGCGTGATATCAGTTTTTTTTTTGCCATAGTAATCAGATGACAATAACAAATCTGGCTTTGTAGTGAGCGGTGCGGGTGGTATGTGTACTATGTGTGTGTGTGTAACATACAATAAAAAAAACGACAAACGCCCAAAAGAAAGTTGGGAAAATTCAATTTTTCAAAGCAAGATTTGCTTGGCGCGTCCACCTTCAACGTGATCTATTTCAAGATACAATGCAAATGCGCAAAAATATGTTTATTAATACATGCACACAAACATATGCCCATTTGAAAAGTGATACAATTTAATAAATGTATATTACACCCACACACGCACACCCCGCACTCGACAGTGCGAAACACTGTGTCCACTGTTTTGCCCTTTACTCACCGATGCGCTGTCCGATGGGTGTCGAGAAAACATTGCCCAGAGCGCCCACATTGAAGAATGAAGCCATTTTGGTGCACTGACTTTTGTTTTATACGCGATTTTTTTTTTATTTTTATCCACAAATAACCAGCGCAAATATTTACGCGTTTACATCTGCTGCACTTGTGTTGCAGAGTGACCGCGATCAACAAAGGTGAAATACCAAAGCATTTAGGTAGGCAGCAGCTAACTTAATGTGAGTAGGAAACTGCGCGCAGCCAGCTTCAAGTGGCAGATTTCGCGCAGCCAACTTCATGTGGAGCTGCCAACTGATGTGGTAAGTGGGCAGTTTCGTTCAGCGAACAGAGGTGTGAAAGAGAATCGACAGTCGGAAGAAACACGAGGGAAGGAATTGTCATTATTTTTCGAAAATCAAATATTCGCTCGCAAAATATGCAAACGCGAACGATAATATCGTAATGTGTAGTTTTCAAATACACTACGACGGCGGTTTTCGTGTTTCCAAGCTGGCAAAGTACTCATTATACCAATTTGTTGGCCATATAGCATAAAGCGAAAAAAGCGTGTGCAATTGCCTTAGTGTGCGTGCGTCGGTTTAGTTGGTTGGTGTGTTGGCCGAAAGCAGTGAAACGAAAACTGAAGAAAAAAAGAACAAAAAGTCGTAGCAAATTGTCGCGCGGGCAACGAACGTAAAGGCGTTATTGAAGGACGAAGAGCGGTCGCTGAACGGACGGAGGCGGCAGCGGCTGCGGCAATCATAAGAAAAACGCGTGTAGTCGACCGGGCGGAGGATATTGAAGATTGCGCAAATGTACAACAGCTAGCTGTGAAGCGTGTGCGTGTGTATGTGTATGTGTGGTGTGTGTCTGTGCGTGTCTGCGTCCGAGTCCGCGCAACACGCCCGCCTACGCCACAAAACGGCAAACGAATCGAATGCTTTCATTTCCTTTTCGCGCTACCGCCTCTCTCCCCATCGCCCCCTGCTGCAACTGATTTCATTTTACGCGCTATCGCCTCACCCGCAACCGCAACCTCGCCCAACTTGACGTCGCCCATTATCAGTTTCGAGTGTATTGTCAAAGTGAGCGCTGCGTAAAATCCTTCAAAATTCCACCACAAACGCCCACCAGTGCGAGCGCCATGCCCGTCTCGTTGGCTGTGTGCGAAACAGCAAATGTCGTGAACGCTGCGCTGAGGGAATCGCTTGGCAGCGGCATCGGCGGCGGCGGCTGCGTTGCGGCCGCAGCTAGCCGATCTAGTTCCGGGTCCGGTTCTGCTGCTGGCGCTGATGAGGCCAAAATCGGCGATATCTCCGGCACGGACAACTTGCAGAGTCAAATTGTGGCAAATGCCAAGCGTGTCTTGCTGGCC